TAGGAGCAATCCTCAGTCACACCTTATCAGACGGAAAAGAGGCACCCATTGACTTCTTTTCAAGAACCCTGTCCAAGTCGGAAAGAAACTACAGCCAGCTGGACAAGGAAGCCTTAGCAATCATCTCCGGAGTGAAAAGGTTCCACGAATACGTCTACAGTAGGACCTTTTCAATTATTATTGATCATAAACCTCTGCTTGGCATATTGGCGGGCAACAAGGCCACTCCAAACATCCTCTCACCTCGCATGACGAGGTGGTCCGAGTTCTAGGCTGCTTATAATTACCAGCTCACACACCGCCCCGGCAAGAACATTCTGCACGCTGATGCTTTAAGCCGCTCACCCCTTCTGGATGTGCTAGACGACCCAGCACTTACCACTCAGGTCCTCCAAATAGAAACCCTACCTAGCCCACTCATCACCGCGCCAGACATTGCCCGCGAAACAAAAAAGGATAGGCGGCTGGCATGAGTCTTGAGTTGGGTAGAACGGGGTTGGCCGGAAAATGATAAAGACGAACGTTTTAAAGCCTTCAGGAGCCGGCAAACTGAATTCTTTGCTCAAAAAGGGTGCATCCTTTGGGGAGATCGGGTGGTGATACCTGAAACATTACAAACCATAGTGCTGGACATGCTGCATGAAGGGCACCCGGGCATCGTCCAGATGAAAGCCCTGGCAAGAAGTTATGCTTGGTGGCCAGGGATGGACAGGCAGATCGAAACATGGGTCTCAGCATGCAACAGTTGCCAACAAACGCGATCCACCCCCCCACAGCACCACCCCTGGAATGGGAAACACCCAGAGGCCCCTAGTCCTGAATCCACCTTGATTTCACCGGCCCCACTCATGGACACACATTCCTGATAACCGTAGATGCCTATTCAAATTGGCTGGAAATCTGCACTATGAAAAAAACAACTACAGAGGCCGTCATAGCTAAACTTAACAAACTTTTTGCCACACACAGTTTGCCAGATGTGATAGTGTCCGACAATGGGCCACAGTTCATGGCACTGGCATTTGAACAATACCTAGCTGTCCGAGGCATCAGACATGCATTAACATCACCCGCTCACCCGGCGGCGAATAGGTGGGCGGAACGAATGGTTCAGTTTACAAAAAAAAAAAAACATACAAAAAATTGAAGATGGCAATATCCAAGAAAAAATCAACAAAATGCTGCTGATACAACATATCACGCCTAACACAACCACTAACAAATGCCCAGCAGAACTACTTATGGGCAGAAGACTCTGTTCGCCACTAGACCGGTTACATCCCACTTATAATCTGGAAAACCCCCCCCGGTTCCACAAGCTGACATCATGCATTCAACATCAGCAACACTGTCTTCGCAAAAAGTTTCACCGGGGACCCCCTCTGGGTACCAGCACAAATCACCCAAATAACCGGACCCAGGTCATACCACCTAGAAACCACCGATGGGCGAAGCTGGAAGCTCCATATCGACCAGCTATGGTCCAGGCTAGCCAGCACAGACTTTAACAAAGAAATCGGGGGGGGGGGGGGAATCTCGAACATTGAAAAAGAAAATAATGCAAGCAGAACACCCCCCAGGCAGAAGCCAAATAATGAACCAACCATACTCACCTGAATATACAGGGCTGTTGCAGACGGGTGCTTCACCTGAAAAGAGTAGCCGGACAAGCTCGACCAGCCCAGAAAATCCAGGCGGGAGCAGCAGAGTGAACAACCCGGGCGAACCAGGCGGGAGTCGCAGCTATAGGCCCAGCTCACTCTTCCAGAAGGTTCCATCGGGAGACTTAAGAGCGACGCGGAGCCCATCCGAACCGGCTGACGACCAGAGACTAAATGAAGCGCACAAGTCAAGTAGGCAGGTACGGAGACCCGCCTACTTATGTGACTACATCACCCTGCCCCTTGGACGATACCAAGAGGGGAGGGGTGTTCCATATTGACAGACTTGAAACCCAACATTCCCATTGGTCCGTTTTAACCACTACCTGATTGGACAACCAGGGCAGCTGTGATTGGCTCGCTAAGAGTCTGCCGCAATTGGTCGAAACCAAGCGTGGGAGACTCAAAGCGCTGTCATTGGCCGCTAAAGAGCCGCCGCGGCTATAAAAGAGCCGCCGCAGCTGCTATTCTTTTAAGCTGATTTTAGCCGATAAATAAAGAGCTGTTGTTACTGAACCAGAGTCTCTCGTCTTTATGAGCCCAACCCTTCGAACTTAACAGATAGATAGATAGATAGATAGATAGATAGATAGATAGATAGATAGAATTCTTTATTGACCAAGTGTGATTGGACACAAAAACGGTGCATATGGACTCAGTGTACATAAAAGAAACGATACATTAATCAAGAGTCAAGAATCATAAGATGCAACACTTAATGATAGTCATAGGGTACAATAAGCAATCAAACCATACTAGGAAACAGTCCATTTAAATCATAAGGACACAAGCCACAAGGTTGCAGTCATATGGTCAAAAGTGGGAGGGGATGGGTGATAAGGAGTTTAATAGTAATAGTAATAGTTTAATAGTAATAGTAGTGCAGACTTTGTAAATAGTTGGACAGTGCTGAAGGAATTAATTGTATAGCAGAGTGATGGCGTTTGGGGGAAAACTGTCCTTGTGTCTAGTTGTTCTGGAGTGCAGTGCTCTCTAGCGTCGTTTTGAAGTATTTTGAAGTATATGAAGTGAGGAGGAGATACACTGATTAGAGTTCATTAGCAGGATGTGATTGTTTCATTCTAAGGCTGTTTCAGGCAGAACAGGCCCCTTGAAACAGAAGTGCATCCATCAAGGGAAATCCTTGGATGGATATCAGGCATATGCATAATTGCAAAGCTTTTGTCAAAGTCTCATCTGATTATCAGAGAGGCCACCTGGCACCCAAACATCTAATTTCTACTTTCATCTAATACCTCTCTCAAGAAATAATACAATAATTCAGTCACATTTTTCTGCTTGGTCTTCCTTTTCAAGGACAACGTTAGCCTGCCAAAGGAGATCCAAGCCAGCCTCCTGGAGCACTTGCTGGTGGCTGCCCAGCCCATCCTTCAAAAGGCAGAAGATGTGGAGTTGACACTTTGGATGATGCAATACCTCCCAAAGCTGATATCAGGAATAAACAGTTCACTTGTTCCACTGTTATTTGACAATCTGGAGACCAGAAATTGTTCTGCTCTCAATGCTGTGTATGAGTGCTATTACTTATTTACAATTATTGCATTTCAAATTCTGCTAGTTTTTGAGTGCCATATTAATTGTTATTGTTATAGATGTCATATTTCATGTCATATGTCATATATCACTTTCACTCTCTCTCTCTCTCTCTCCACACATACACACACATCTTTCCTTCCTTACAACTCTTATATGAGGATAGATGATAGATAGATAGATAGATGATAGATAGATAGATAGATAGATAGATAGATAGATAGATAGATAGATAGATAGATAGATATAGAATTCTTTATTGATCAAGTGTGATTGGACACAAAAATGGTGCATATGGACGTACACACACACACACACACACACACCATATCTACCTACTGGATTTATAAGGCTGTCTAACTAATAATGTGACTTAAATATATTTTATTATATTATGTGATGTTATACATTACAGACCGGAGAGTAGAGGAGATGCGAGACAATTGGCTTTCCTAAGCTCAGAGGGATTCTTTGTTTTTTCCTGGGCTTTATATTCCTTGTTGCCTTATTGCACAACACACTCGGACCTAAGCTAGATAAGTAGGCAAGAGCCTTGATGGCACCTGCGCCTGTCTGACTTGCATATCAGCACTTTGTGCCCATATCAGCACTTTGGATTTTTTCCAAATGGTTGGGAGTAATAATACTTTTCTTGTATTACAGAGTAACTCTGTTAAATGGCTCTCTTGGTCAATTTGGCAATGGGACGCGACAGAAGGTTTTCGAAGCCATCCTTAGGGTGATCTCAGGTAACCAGCAACCAGAGCAGTCCCAGTGCTTTATGCTGCCCCAAGCAAAAGGGTGCTGTGCGGCATTTTGGATGGAGGGGCAGAACAGCAGGGACTAGAAAGACACTATCACAAGAACCCCACTCAGCTGACTTCATTAGATGCCTTTGGAGGCCCTGTTCCCCCGTGTCTACATCCCTCTGCCTTGGATCCTCCAATGGGGTTCAGAATGTTGATTTACCTTTTACAGATTCTTGTAATGACTGTTAAAATGATATATAAGAGGAACTTCACGTTATCTATATATATAAAAGTGAAGTACCACTCACGCATCATCACAAAATCTCCAGAACCGTAAAGCCTACAAACTTGAAATTTGGCATGCATGTTCCAAATTTGGTGCTAAGAAAGGGTTTTTTGAAATGACCACCAGAGCATTAGCTTTTCCTAGCATTATTATTATTAACATGCTCTGATGCTAAGGAGTTCTACTACTCCTCCCCACCTGAAAAGAAATTTGTTCCAAATGCAAAACACAAGCAGAGGAGTTTCAGTTTTAGTTTCACAGCACCAAGCAGCTTTAGCACAGAACAGTTGAGCTAAGCCACGCCCAGGCTCCTTGCTGTCTCCTTCTTGCTCGCACAGCAAATACTGCTTCAGTTTCCAAACAGCCCTCAACTCTCTCGCACACTGACAGGACGCTAGCTGGATGAATACTGATGGCAGAGGTAGGCAGAGGCAGAATCTTTTTCTCCTTATTTTCCTCCCCAAAAACTAAGCCCGACCACATAGTTTTGTAGAGAAGAACGGGTATTGTCAATATTTTAAATAAATGTGAATATGATTATTACTAAGGATGCAGGCTTTGCTTTCATCCTCAGTAAAGATAATGTTTAAATATTAAGGATAAATTTTTTCATTTTGGAAAAATCAAGTTTGATGTTTCAAAAATTAAACATTCTGATAATGTTTTTACTTGAGAAATTTAAAAATTGTCAAATGACCTTACCTGATTTTTATTGAATATCTTTTGTCCTCCCTTCCTTGACTTCTTCAGCCTCCTCTCTTCAATGCTATGCTTCAAACACCAATTTTTGGGTGTTTCTAGAAGAGACCTTTCAGGGTTTTATTGACTTCCTGACTTTGAAGGATCTGGAAACTTTGATTCCCTCCTCTGACCTCCAAAAGGTAGTGTTGTTATTCACTGACATCAAAATTATATCTTATATCTAATATAGTCATGCAGATTTTTTTCCTTCCTAATAATTTTCCTGGTTTTTTTCAGATCAATGGAGTGTTGATCTATTAGTTGCGACAGGAATTGATTGGCTGGCCTGTTGACTGAGCCGGAGGTTGTGGGCTAAGAGAGAGGGGCTGGCCCAGCTGGTGTTCTATCCCAGTTAGCCAGCACCGAATAGCCAATACCTGGGGAGCTGCATCTGCCCCCTCCCCAATTATCTTTGCTCCTGTACAATCAAAGCACCTCACCTTGTTACCTCACTATGCTAAGGAGCTTCTAATCTTATTTGGATGCTGATTTTCTATTCTTTTCCTTTTTTCCAGATTGTGAATACAGTTCCAGCAGATGATCTGGCTGATCTGTTTTCTAGAGAGGGATTCATTGATGATGATCCTTTCTTGACTGCTGTGTTAAAGATCTATAATAAAACTGGTTTATTTATTGACAGACTTAACCAGAAAAATATTATCGTAAGAAACAATTATGGCTTATTTTACAAACCATTAAAAAGTGAACTTTAAGTATAATATATATGTACAGTATAAACATTATTATTCATTAGATTTAATATAGCTGCCCATTCCAGGGATTCTGAGTAACTTACAAAATGTAATACTAAATTAAACAATTACAGAAATAAACATTTTAAAAGGCAGGCTGAACTAAAATCAGCCAATAAAACAAACCTGTGACAACATTTAACAGAAATGTACAAAAAAAAAAGAGGTTGGGAGAGACAGGCAGTCTCAGGTCTTACGCCATGAAAGCCTTTAAAGTTTAAGTACCAGCACCTTGAATTGCACTCATGGCACAGCAGTGACACAGTGCAGTGATCGGCATAACAGAAGTGCCCGTTGCTTCTCATCCTGCTGCATTTTGAACCATTTTGAACTTCCAGAACAGTCTTTCTCAACCTCAGTGCTGGCTGAGAATTGAAGTCCACATGTCTTAAAGTTGCTGTGGTTGAGAAACCCTGTTGCAGATGGCCTTGAAGGGCAGCCTCATTGGAAACGGTGGCAGTGTCCAATTCCTAGGTGACTAGAACATGACTGACCGCCTGCAAATCCTCCCAGTCAAGGAAAGGGCAGAGTTGGCACACAAGATGTATCTGGGCATTGTTGGTTTTGGATTGTTCTCATCCCTGGTTAGATTTCTAGCACTCAGATCTTAGTTCTATGACTTTCCTCTTGCAGGACATTCTTCCAAACGGCACCAAGGTGGCTCTTTTGGCTGGGCTCTGGCCCAGCGTGGTTTCCAGCAGCCAAGAGACTGAGGTGTCCTTGTGGCTGGATAGCCGCTTGGCTCATTCCTTCATGTTTCTTAATGGTGACATGTTGAATGCTAGTGAGACCTTGAACACCAGCTGTGGGATATTCCAAAAAATGTAAGTATGTGGCCATGTCAATATGGAGCCCTACCTCAGTTTGGAACTCTCCAGATAGACGGCACTGCAGTTTCCAACTAAGGGAATTAGGAGTGGAGGAGCCAGAGCTGGACACCTCTTTGGGAAACAAATAGATCTAATTCAGAATCGATAAGAACTCTGCCTCATGTTCCCTGAACCCCACTCCTTATCATTTTTAAAAAATAATTGCTTTCTATCAGTAACTATACTGGCGGCAGCACAGTGGTTCGAATACAGTGTTGCAGGGCAACTGCCCACAAGCAGGAGTTCAATCCTGACCTGCTCAAAGTTAACCCAGACTTCCATCCTTCCGAAGTTAGTAAAAGGGGGACCCAGATTGCTGGGGGCAAGAAGCTGACTTTATAAACTGCTTAGAGGGGGATGTAAAGCACTGTGGAGTGGTATAGAAATCTAAGTGTTATTGCTACTTCTATAAGCATTTTAGGATGAAAGTGTTGTCAAGTTTTCTTTCCTGTCATTGGTACGCTCACTCCTATCATTGGTACACTGGGTGAAACCAGGCTCAATAGCAGTAAGTGGGAGAGGGATCTTGGAGTCTTAGTGGACAACCAGTTAAATATGATCCAACGGTGTGCAGCGACAGCCAAAAAAGCCAATGCAGTCCTAACTTGCATTCACAGAGGAATGTAATCAAGATCAAGTGAGGTACTAATACCACTCTATAAAGCCTTAGTAAGGCTTAGTAAGACTAGAATACAGTATCCAGTTTTGGTCACCACACTGTAAAAAAGATACTGAGACTCTAAAAAGAGTGCAGAGAAGAGCAACCAGGATGATTAGGAGAGTGGAGACTAAAACATGAAGAACAGTTGCAGGATCTGGGCCTGGCTAGTCTAGTGAAGAGAAGGACCAGGGGAGATAGGATATTGGAATATTTGAGGGGCTGCCACTGGAGGAGGGGGTCAAGCTATTTTCCAAGGCACCCGAAGGCCAGACAAGGAATAATGGATGGAAACTGAATAAGGAGAGATTCAATCTGGAAATAAGGAAGAAATTTTCTGACAGTGAGGACAATCAACCAATGGAACAGAAGTTGCCTTCAGAAGTTGTGGGAGCTTCATCCCTAGAGACTTTCAAAAAGAGACTGGATTGCAATTTGTCAGAAATGGTATACGGTCTCCTGCTTGGGCGGGGGTAGTTGGACTAGATGACCTACAAGGTCCCTTCTAACTCTTTTAATCTGTTAAATATGTCTCTTCTTAGCTTCTTCCATTTAACATTTTATTTATGTTCTGCTTGTTGGAACTTACATTACAGCCAATAAGATTTTGAAATCTGAGGCAAAAAGATTGTTTTTATGTGTATCTAATAGTTTGGCTGGGTGGTGGTCAAGTAGTAAAGTTAATGAGTTTGCAAGAAAGAAGTTCTGCTTCTCTGAAATTTTCTCTCTCTCTATCGGCCAATACTTCATACCTCTCTTTCTGCAGAGTGAACAAACTGAATGAAAATATTGTGATGTTCAAAGACAAGGAAAAAGAAATGTACTTTTCCATCAAAGCTTATCTGACTGGTAAGGTCATGGGCGAAATTCTCTTTGTTTCCCTTGCAGGAGGTGTTGCATGTAGAGCTGACTATAGGCCCAACATCTAACCATACATAGCTCATACGTAACACCTTCTCAGATCAGAACATGGCACAAGGACCTTCACATCAGAATGAGGTTCATTCAATCTCTACAAATCTTAAATGTAGTTTTGAAATAGGTTGGCTTATACAAGCAGATGTCCATCTAAGCTGGAGTCCTCATGTAAAAAGGCCTGTGAAAAGTCCGGCATGTAAAGCTTCCTTCACAAGTTTAAAGGAGGAAGAAAAAGTCACACATCTATCTCAAACTGCTTGCTGTAGTAGAAATCCCTTACTTATGTGTCACTATGACAGTGTGATATAACATCTGTCTCGTTCTCAAGTCTTAAGAGTTGAGCTGACCACAGACTGGTCCTGCTGGTTTTCTGCCAGGAACATTCAGAAAGAAAACGATACCAGGAATTGCCACCTGTCTTGATCCCATAACATTGCTAACTCCTAATTCTGAGCATTGTGTTAATATTAGCTAGTTTGTTCATAGCATCTTCTAGTGCTGTTAAAAATACAAGTGCTTTAAAATACCTACAAAATTGTAAAACAAAATTCAGGATAAAAATCTTTCAAAGAGACTAGGAACTGGAACTAGGTTTCTTTAAAAGTAACTGGAATTATTTTTCCTACAGCAAGCAAAAGCAGACCCCGATGCTACAATCCCAGCAATCCAGAGAGGTCCAGTTGGCTTGCGATGTATCTTGGGAATTATATTCGTTATAGCAGTGCCAGAGACATGCGCTTATTCACAAACAAAAGTGCTGCCATAGTATGTATTGCTGCTGGAATTGTTTTAAACAAAACCTGTTGGAAAGACTGAGGTCGGAACAAATTCTCTTTAGAAAATAACAACTTATGCCTGATACGCTTATTGTTAATTTTTATTCAACCCATGGGGATAACATCCCATTGGTTAGAACAATGGGATGATCAATGGGTCAGAAATGCTAAGATAGCAACTGTGACAGGCAGAATTTTGATTGCACAGCCATAGTTGCCACCTTTTCCCCCCTATGTGAATAAATAGACTATATTCAAAATATTTTGTATACAATTTTTTCAGGGGTGGGATTCAAAAATTTTTTACTACTAGTTCTGGTGTGGCTTGGTGGGTGTGCTTAGTGGGCGTGGCAGGGGAAGGTTACTGCAAAATCCCCCTTCCCTCCCCACCCCACTAACCTGCTTTCCAGCTCTGTTCTCCTGTGTAGGGCAACCAAAGAAGACCTCAGCCGATCAGCTGGGACTCAATGGGAGGCAGAGAAGAGATGGGGGGTGAGGCCAGTCAGAGGTGGGATTTGCTGGTTCTCTGAACTACTCAAAATTTCTGCTACCGGTTCTCCAGAACTGGTCAGAACTGGCTGAAGGCCACCTCTGAACTTTTTCTTGGTTAAGTTTATTATGTCCTATTATAGAACAGAACAGAAGAATAGAGTGGGAATTAGAATAGAATAGAATAGAACAGGTTTCATTTGGCCAAGTGTGATTAAAGACACAAGGAATTTGTCTATGGTGCAGAAGCTCTCAGTGTACATGTAAAGCAACAGAGTAATAATAACGGTAATCTAATGCTAATAAGAGGGGGATAGTAGGGAAGATGAGATGGATCATAATAATAAAACAACCTTACAGCATGGCTGAATATACCTAGACATAAGACTGTACTGTGAGGATTATGTGTTCAGCTGACTGATGGTATGAGGGGAACAATTGAGGAGATATAAAATCTGTTTGTAGAATTTCACCATGATTTATCTGATTTTAATATGATGTGAGAACTGAGCTATTGCAGTTGTCAGTCATGTTGATGGCCTGGAAACTAAAATATATGACGAACAGTTGCAGGATTGGGTTTTGTTTGTCTAGAGCAGGGGGTGCGAGAAAAGTCCAGGTAGGATAGGTCCAGGTAGGTCCAATAGGATATTGGCTATATGTTGGCATTTTTATTTTCTTTTGCAATGGATTAACTTAACTGAGCAAAATATAAATTTCAGGGGGTGCGAGGTTCGAGTGAAATTTGTTTAGGGGTGCAGGGCAAAAAAAAGGTTGGGAACCACTGGTCTAGGACTAGTGGGGACATGATAGCAGTATTCCAATATTTGAGGGGCTGCCACAGAGAGGAAGGGGTCAATTTATTTTTCAAAGCACCAGAGGGAAGAACAAGAAACAATGGATGGAAATTAAAAAAGGAGAGAAGCAACTTGGAATTAAGGAGAAACGTTCTAACGATGAGGGCAATTAACCAGTGGGACAGAAGTTGCCTCCAGAAGTTGTGGGTTCTCCATCCTGGAGGTTTGTAAGAAGAGACTGGACAGTCACTTATCTGAAATGATACAGGTTCTCCTGCTTGAACAGGGGGCTGGACTAGAAGACCTCCAAGGTCCCTTCCAGCTCTATTCTGACATAAAATTGCTGGTTGCCCCTTTCATACCTGAAAGTCCTTAGCAGATTTGTATTTTTTTTAGTTTCAAGATCTTGCTTTTAACCAAAACAATCTGGAGCTGATCAATAGAAATAAAATCCGTAAAGATTTGGCAGAAATGTATGCTACAGCGTTATTTACGGTTGACTCGGATTTCAATCTTGACCGGTGAGTGGAAATGTATTTTGGTGCTATTAAGATATTTTAAGATATTTTAATTATATTCCCAGTAACTATAACAGTTAGGGGAAAGGAGTTTGGTGGATAAGCAAACCTTTTGTAGCTATAAATAAGAAACAGAATTGATGAAACTCCAGATAACAGGTAAGAAAAGAAATTCAAGGAAAAGTATTTGAATGCTGATATTTCAAAAATACATATGATAAATTCTCATCACATGGCAAGAAAATCTGCATAATTATGTAGTTGAAAAAAACATTTCCATTTTGTGGAGATGAAAATTTCCAATTCTGTGGAGTGCATGGAATGGGGAGGAGAAACAGAGTTGGGATATCCAATCTGACCCTAGCTACCTTAGCTCTCTTTGTTGATCTCTCAGTGTCCTGGAAAGCTCTTCACTTCAGCCTGAAACAGCCACTAGATGAAGCAAATTGTAACTTGTGCAACACTAGTTAGTTAATCTTGCTTGAGTCTGAAAAAGCTAAGCAGGCTCATATCCGATCAATACTTGGATGGAGGACCAGCAGGAAATCCCAGGCAGTCTAGAATATGTAAACTAAAAAAAAGGTGAAGACAAAGGCAAACTGTATTAACTCTATAGACAGTAAATCTGCATTGTTATCCCCCACCCCATAAATGGGTCTGTGAAGTCAATTAGGAGCAAAGCCCAACTCAAAGGAAGCTTTCACCTGTACATTTGCCCTCTACTGAAGGCCAACAGGGCCTTCTGCTGCAAGTGCTCTCCTTCCACCTGCATGCATCACCATAGAGCCACTTCAAAGGCATCCATGGAAAATAGGAGCTGTACCTCAAGCAGTAGCTATAGCAGAGCATCCATTCAAGGAACACCAGCAGCTGCCTAGAATTAAGCCAAACCTTCCAGGATATGAGTCGCAGATAAATCTGAAGCAGCTGTTGGGCTTTGCTTTCTTCTCAGCCTTCCAGATCAACTCACTTGTTTTGCGCAACGCTCCACCTTGATCTCTCGTCTGAGCCCTGCAGAGGCCTTGAGCTTCATTGCCCGGGTCAACCAACATTGCAGCTCTTCCAACCCATCCGCCTCTGACCGCCAGGTGAACTCACTCAGTTTTTCTATTTGCACATGTTGCTCAGAAAACTATAGTCCTAAATTCATGGTACATATTGGAGCTTATTCATGGGCACCGCTTGGATTGGGAGGCGAAAGAGGACTGGGACAGCAAGCCTTTCCAGGTATCTGTTCTGAACAGTCTAAATCGAAAAATAGACTACAGTTTATTAGCATTTGTTTTTTGGTTAAATATGCAGTCTAAACAAGCCAATTGTTTATCTGTCTTTCTTTGTCATGCCCTTTGAAAACCCAATATTTTTTCTGGGGGGAGAGGTCACAGTTCTATTCTCAGTTGGACACTGTTGTTCACCAGAGACTAGAACAGAGAAATATGCTTATATATGCTAATGTGGGCCCATTCCACAATGAATGGAATCAAGTTGGTATCATGGGAAATGTACAGAGAAGGTGGGTCTTTCTCCCCTCCTGCCTTTGATGTAAAAGGTGGCAGGTGCTGTCTGATAAAGTAAGAGAGAATGTAGAAGTAGGGAGAGGTGGCAGGTAGTCCTTTAGTGTGATCCCACGGGACTGATTGGAGACCTTGTCCTGGAAAGGATTCGCCTAGGAGGAGTGGCCTGGGAAATAGCCTTTTTCATATCACAGGCATGGAGAGGGGCTGGGACATGGATTCTTTGGTTTGATTTACAGATGTTTTCTTATTCAGAAACCAATTCCAACAATGTAACATGCCAATCTTCAGCCACATGTTCATCACCCTTATAACCATCTCTGTTACCTTTTGTTCTGCAGGGTCCCCTCCCCTGAACCCTGTTGTTATAGCTCGGAAATAAGGGGAGGCCACACCAGAGCATTAACAAGAACACGCTTTATTCATGGAATAAAGGGGGCTGTCGCGTCTGCATACTAACAAGCAGACATGCCCAGCGAACAGCGACTGGCTCGACCTAGCAGCCGGCTTTTATAGCCGGCTGTCGAAGGGAGCCAGCCAATGGGAGCTGTAAACGCCCCCGCAGTATGGACGGACCTGGTTGGGAACTTGTGTCAGCCCCAAGGACATAACACCCCTTCCCCCCAGATACGAGCATGAATAGTCCTTTAAATATGCTGGTGGTCTGTGCGGGCGCCCGGACCGGCGCAATTCTGGTGAGCCACTAAGTGGCACCGAGTTCGGAGAATCAGGAACGGGGTTTGCCGGAGAGCAGGCTTGCTCTGGGACCTGGCCAGGTGTCTGTGAGCAGTCACTGTCCTCGGGTTGGTTTGTCATACAGTCATTGTCCAGCAACCCGGTGGTATCGTCGGTCGGTAAAACTGGTGTCTCAGGTGGACGGTCCCGGTCTACCGTCCGCTCCCTCGGTTCGGCCGGTGGTGACTGGCCCCTCAGGTGGTCCCTGCTCGGATTCTGGTGCGGTAATTGGAGAGTTACTGGAGTCCATGGATCCGCGTTGGCATGACCGCTCTGGCGCCTTCTTATCTGATCCAGATGCCTACGCCAAATGCGCCCGTCCTCCAGCTGAATTCGGTACGATCTCGGACCGGTGATGGCCACGATCTTCCCTGGTACCCATAGCGGATCGCCGGCGTAGTTCCGGATAAACACTTGGTCCTGCAATACAAAACCTCTGACCCTACTGTCAGAACCGATTGGCATGTCAGGGCAATAGTGGGGATGCAGTCTATCTAACACAGTCCTTAGGCGTCTGCCCATCAGTAGCTCGGCGGGAGACTTGTTTGTAACTGTACATGGGGTCGAGTGTTGGCTTAAAAGGAAACGGGAGAGTCTGGAGTGCCAGTCTTCTTGATTGAACCTGGCCAACGTCTCTTTTGCTGACCTAACGGCTCTCTCCGCCAACCCATTGCTAGCGGGATGAAAAGGGGCCGTTAGGACGTGCCTGATGCCCAGGTTGGTGACATACCGGCTGAATTCTGTAGATGTAAATTGGGGGCCATTGTCCGAGACTAAGGTGTCAGGCAGCCCGTGTGTAACAAATAAGCGGGTCAGGGCCTGGGCAACTGCTCGGGTGGTGGTCGTGGGTAGGAGGGCCACATCGATCCATTTGGAAAACGAATCCACAACCACCAAGAAGGTCTTGCCGTGGAATGGCCCGGCCAAGTCAATGTGCAACCGTGACCACGGCGCGTTGGCACTTTCCCATTTGGTTGGGGTGGAGATTGGTGGTGCTGGCCTAGACTCCTGACAGGGACGGCAAGAGCTTACCCATTTGGCGATCTCGTCGTCCATGCCCGGCCACCAGACGTAACTCCGAGCCAACGCTTTCATTCGGACGATGCCAGGGTGCCCCTCGTGTAGCGCCTTCAAGATGGGTGTGCGCAGGGGGTTTGGGATGACAACTCTGGTCCCCCATAACAGGCAGCCCTGTAAACTGGAAAGTTCTTGCTGGCGGGTTTTAAACGGTGAGAATTCAGTTGAGAGGTTAGTGCCCGGCCACCCCCTCCGTACCCAGTCCAGAACCTGGGCGATAGTTTTGTCTTTTTTGGAATGGAAGGCGATGTCGCCAGCGGTGACTGGAATGTTGAACTCGCTGACATCGAAGATGGCATGGACCGGGGCCGGGTCCTCCACGGGGGCTGGCAGCAGGCAGCGGCTGAGGGCGTCGGCGTGGCTAAGGTTTTTTCCTGGGCGGTGAACGAGTTTGTACGAGTAAGCCGCCAGGAATAAAGTCCACCTAGTCATCCTGGGTTACAAGACTTGAGGTGTTTGTTTTTCTCCTGAGAGTAGCCCCAACAGTGGTTTGTGATCTGTGATAAGTTCAAATTTGTGACCAAAAAGAAATTCATGGAATTTTTTTACCGCAGCGACGGCGGCTAGGGCTTCTTTGTCAATTTGGCTGTAATTACGCTCGGTTGGTGAAAAGGTTCTGGAAAAGAACGCGATTGGAGCTTCGGAGCCATTTGGAAGCCTGTGGCTTAAGACAGCCCCAATCCTGAAAGGTGAGGCGTCTGCGGCTAAGACTAGAGGGAGGCGCTGGTCGAATTGTATTAGGACAGCGTCTGAGGTGAGCAGCGATTTGACTGCATTAAAGGCGTACTCCTCTTTGGGTCCCCAATGCCATGGAGTGTTTTTGTCTAGAAGTCTATGCAACGGTTCGGCTACTGACGCTTTGTGGGGTAGGAACGACGCATAGAAGTTTAGCAAGCCCAGGAAAGCCTGTAATTCTGACTTAGTGGAAGGAGTGGGTGCCTCGTGAATTGCTTTGACTTTGGATTCCACCGGGTGGATGCCAGAGGCGTCTATTTTATACCCAAGAAAGTCCACCTGTTTAGTGGCGATGGCACACTTCTCCCTTTTTAGTTTGAGGCCATGCTGCCTGAACCTATCCAATACCGCTCTGACTCTGTGGAAGAGTTGGGGTCTGTCCCTGGCTGAGACCAAAATGTCATCAAAGTACGGAACCACGCCAGGGAGACCTTGCAGTATCTGTTCCATTAATGACTGAAAAATGCCTGGGGCGACACTAACGCCAAATTGGAGGCGCTTGCATCGGAATTAGTTTGTAATTCGGCCGTTTGGCTGTCAACAGGAAATTGCTGATAAGCCTGTGACATATCCAATTTGGCGAATATAGTACCAGGCTCAAATGTGTGTAGTAAGTGTTGGATTACTGGAACTGGGTAAGCGCTAACCTGTAGATAGCGGTTGATTGTGGTCTTATAATCAGAACAAATTCTTAAACTGCCATCTTTCTTAAGGGGTGTGACAATTGGGGTCTCCCACTTAGCAAAATCCGTGGGCTCAATCACCCCTTGTTTGAGCAATTTGTCCAGTTCTGCGTCCAGTTTAGGGCGTAGAGCAAATGGTACTCTGCGCGGTTTTAAATGGACGGGAACTGCTTGGGGGTCCACAGAAAAGGAAATGGGCGTGCCATTGTAACAACCTAATTCATTGCTGAACACATCAGCGTAGTCTGCAATTAGTGAGTCGATATCGGAAGTTGAGACAGCATGAACTCCCGTTAAACTAAGACTGAGATAGGGGAACCAATCCAACCCCAAAAGGCTAGGGAGGGCACCATCTACAACCACTAAAGGCAGATGGCCTTTAAAGGATTTGAATTTAACGAGGAACTTGCCTTTTCCGAGTACTGGAATATTCTTTCCTTGATAGTCCCTCAAGGTGAGACGACTCTTCTGGAGCTGGTTCCTGGACAGGCTGGGTCGTATTTTCTTAAGTGTGCTCCATGAGATGATCGAGAGCGCTGACCCGGTATCGACTTCCATAAGACAGGGTTTACCTTCTAAATGAATAGAGAGTGTGATTTTATTAGGTGTCAAAAAAGTGTGGTTAGCTTGGTAGCACGTATAACAATTTTCTACTTGCCTTGGTGGCCCCGGAGGGGAGTAAGAGGACGACAACTTTTGTGGAGTCACATGTGCTGCCTGGCAGGCCCTGGCGATGTGGCCTTTCTTGCCGCAATTGTTGCAGGTAGCGTTTCTGAACCTGCAAGTTGTTCTGGCATGGGAACCCCCGCAGGAGAGGCATAACAGGATGTGTTTAGGCGCATTGCTGTTCCCGAGCCTGGCTCCTACCTGTGGTTGTCTGGATGGTTTGAGGCGATGAACTTCTGAGTGTTCTGTGGGGTCTTCTTCGCTCACCGCTTCCTCGGAATGAACAGTGACCGGACTGGGTTTGGGCGAGGTCCCTTGGATTTCAGCGGCTGACTGGGTCGCTAGCTCTGCGGCCAATGCTTCTTCGACCGCTTGGGAGAGGTTGAGACCTTTTCTGGCCAGCAAACGCCTCTGTAACCTTAAATCTCTGACTCCACAGACGAGTTGATCAAGGAGCATGTCGTCCAAGTAATTTTTAAACTCGCAGTGGAGAGCTGCGGTTCTCAGGGCGGCCATATACTGATTGATAGATTCCCCATCTGCTTGCTTCCTCATACGAAAGGCAAAACGTCTCGCGATCTGCGATGGCTTAGGGGAGTAATGGTTGGAGAGTGTTTCCAACAGCTCGGTCCACGGGACGTTCTTTATCTCTCTTGGGGCGAATAGCGCCGTGGCGGTATCGAAGACTGCGGCCCCACAGTAGCTCAGGAAGTACGACTTCTTCCTGTGCTCCGTAGCATCGGCCAGACCGATGGCATCAATGTAGTGATTGAAGCGGTTTCTGTAAGAGTCCCACTTTTCTTCATCTGGCTTAAATGGCGGGAACGCCGGATTGGAATTCATTTTGGGTTTTCAGTCTGTTGGTAGACTGACCAATCTCTCTGGGGATACGAGGCCCTGATGAGTGTGGCGGCTGTAGCTGCAGCGCCTATCTAGCTCAGTGCTTTCAGCTCTAGGAGGTTCTCTCTGTGTAGCTCTTGGCGGCTATGACTATAGCGCCGTAACTGACTTCAGTTTGAATTTCGCGCCCTCAAAAGAGCGTAGGCGGCTATTGCTGTAGCGCCGTGACTGACAGTTATTCAAACTGTGCGCTCAATGTATTCTGGCGGCTGTGAGTGCAGCGCCGAGCTTCGCTAACAACAGAATTCGAACAGCAGCGGTTGAATCCTGTGCTCATAAACGCTGGGCGGCTGAGGCTCTCAGCGCCCTACTTTCACTCTGTAGCTTTCTAACTGAGCGGCTACAACGCTCCACTTTCACTTCAGCAATCAACGACTGACCGAGCTCTCAACGGCGCGGCTACGGCTCAGCGTTTTGGTGCGTCTTCAGCTCTTTTGATAGTTGCTGCTGGTTGGCCTTGATCCCATCCTCGTCGCCAATGTTATAGCTCGGAAATAAGGGGAGGCCACACCAGAGCATTAACAAGAACACGCTTTATTCATGGAATAAAGGGGGCTGTTGCGTCTGCATACTAACAAGCAGACATGCCCAGCGAACAGCGACTGGCTCGACCTAGCAGCCGGCTTTTATAGCCGGCTGTCGAAGGGAGCCAGCCAATGGGAGCTGTAAACGCCCCCGCAGTATGGACGGACCTGGTTGGGAACTTGTGTCAGCCCCAAGGACATAACACCTGTCTTGCTGCTAGTAATCAGCTGCTGTTTGGATTGTTTCTTAATTGGGGATCAGCTTGGGTTCTGTTGAAACAGGAACAAAGACCAATGTAAAAGACTCCGTCAAAGTCAGAACTATCTTAGAGACATTGGGCCAGGGACTGGAGGGGAGAGAGTGTGGCTACAGCTCCCAGGCAGCCAGTAGGAATGGTGCAGGACTTAGTCCCTCTCCACACTGTCAGCTGCATCATTGGTAATGCATCCTTGTGCATGTTCATGACAAAAATTGTGTTGAAAGAAAAGGGAACTGTTTGTTAAACTGTTTGTTTAAAATGTAGAGCAAGTCAAGGTAACATTCTGCTTCCTCAGTTGTGGACTGGGATTGAGAGCAAGGCAATATCTCTGGATGAAGCAGGGGCACATAAATTCCATCACTCATTCACTCAAATGCATATCAGGAGGATATATTGTTCAAAAGTGGCTCCCAGGGCATGCTTGTCCTGTGTTAAGAGGAAGCCATGTGGAACTCTAGGCTTGTAAATGCTCAAAATATGTCTCATCATAATAAGAGAGTAAGTCAAGATTTTCAATTCCTTGGCTTGAGCAGCAAAGTCAAAATCAGAATCAAATGATGACTTGGGAGTTGTACCAAAGTTTCTAAGGATCAAGGGCAGGGCCTTTGAACAAATATATACATAAACAAATCAAATGTTGTCATGGAATTTTCTCCAAGTCATTTGGGTATTTCAAATATCTCAACGTTAAATAATTTCCATCTTTTCTTTTGTAGCTTGCTCATAGGCTTGTGGCTCAAGTCAAGACATTTGATAAACAGACCTTGATAGCTTTGGGGCAGCAAGCAATGGGGCTCACCATGGGTCAAATTTCAAATCTAACACCACAAGACCTAGTAGATCACAAGGTTTTGGAATTACTTGGCCAGGTCAAGGGCTGGAACAGAGGACAATCCCAGATTCTGGTAAACAAGATCCTGCTCAATTACAAGGTAAATCTTGTGACTTCCCATTTGTGATCTGTTAATATCAGTGTGTGTCATCAGTTTTCAACTGGTGTAATTGTGATACAATAAGATATATGTTTTAATTTTAGTTTTTGAAGAAAAATCATAATGGAAAAAGAATTCCAGCTCACTGCAGATATACAAATCAGGAAACAGACCTCAATCATGTTTTCCCCTCCCGTCTCTGGAATAGTTTCTTGTTTGCCATCACCCTCACTCTCCCATTAATGCATGCCCTGCCAGGGCACTCATGAGGAAGTTTTAAAAAGTCAAAATTGCAGTCACAGTTATGATCTTAACTTTTTAAATTCCCCTGTAAAGCCCTGCACCCTGCTTTGTATGTACCATTGTGGCTTACAAAAGAATGTCTGCCAAAGGTGACATTAAGTTCTGAATAGATCTTCTCTATAATGGTTTGAGCTGGCACCTGTGGAGCTTGAAACTTAACTTTACTAATGCTGGGAAAGGAAATAATGTAGGAAAATGTCTCTGGCAGGTGAACTGACCAAAAGAGAAGGCCTTCTGTGTATTCATTTTGCCTGTTCACAATACCACCACATGAACAAAGAGATAAAGAAGGAATCAAGAGGGTGAGAGCAGAGAAGGAGATGAAGTGAAACGGTCATCTTCTGAAATGTGTGCCCATTTTGTATACTGAGACAAAGGATGGATGTGGAAAGCTAATTCCCCCCTTGTCCGCAATTCTTTCCCAATAGATTTCCATTGAAAATGGACATGTTGGTATTGCTAACCAAACAGGCAGGACTGTGTGGTCCTGCTCTCCTCTCCCCAACCAGAGAAAGAACATTCTGGAAGAGGCAAAGTTACAAGGGAAACAATTAGCCTCAATCTCTCTTCTCTTGGAATCCCCTCTTTTTCCAGGGCAATAGACAGAGGGGATCAGAGAAAGAGGTTGGGTAATGAGTAGGGTGGTTGACCCAATAAAGGGCATTTGACTTCCACCCCCTCAAATCTAGGCCAATCCTGGCAGAGGAGATTTATGCCTTGACCATCTACCTCATTCTTCCTGCAGCTGGACACAGTTGAGAAATTTGTGCTTCTCGGTACCCTAGCAGAAGGCTTGCCGGGTAACAGTTTTGACACCATGACAGTCAGTTTTGTAGTTAAGCTGGCCAAGAATGTGAGCTTTCAGACAGCTTTCAGAAAAAGTCCTGATCATGTGAAGAAGGCCTTTGTCAGCAAGGTAAGAGGAGAAAAAGTGACTATAAGAAATGTTGGGAGAGAGGTGGGTCCCTTTAGGATTGCTTAGATAAATGAATGAATCAACAAGTTTCAACCAGCTACATCTGCTACAAATCAAAGAATATGAGAGCTGGAAGGTCTTTGCAGCATCCAGACCACTCCTTGCTCGCTGCAGGAAGGCTGATTAAAGCCTCCTTGGCAGTTAGCTCTGGAGCCTCTGGTTGGAGGCCAAGAGTGAAAGGGGGAGCCCCCCTCTGGCACTTGCCCTTGCTGTAAGGTATCAAAGTTGGCCAGTCTTGCGGTTGCATCTTTCTTGCTTCTGTCAGCTGCTGATGAAGAAAGTTGCAGTGCTATGTACAGCTTTACAACCCTATTGCTTCCCTGCCTTCCAGCCAAATTGGGAATAGATATTGAAATTTGTCATTACATTTCTGATTTATTTTGTACAATTACTATAACTCCCTTTCAGGAGAACAGCTCTCCTAAAAGCAACCACTGAGTTATAAAAGTCCTTAATTGCATATAAACGTATTAAGTTATGCATTTGATAAAGTAGATACAACCTACTTCTTGGTAAGATAGAACAATGTGGGATAGACGGTTTCAGACCAGATGGATTCCTAACTGACTGATCAACTGCACCCAAGCATGTAGTCCTCAATAGAGCTACATCTACATGGAGGGAAGCACCCAGGGGGGTACCTTAAGGTTCTCTCTTAGGCCCAGGACTTTTCAATAACTTCATGAATGATGTACATGAGAGAACAGAAGGGGAACTCATCAAATTTGTAGATTAAACCAAGCTGAGGGGAATTGCAAGTCTTTTGGGGAATAGATTCAATATTCAGAAGGATCTTGACAGACTTGAACAATGGGGCCATCCAACAAGTTGCAGTACAGTGATTAGAAAAGGAAGGTCCTTGTGATGACCCAAAGGGGTGTGGCACAAAGGCAACATAGTCACATAGTAAGAAAAGTCCCTTTAATGCCTCCAACTTTGCCCCCAATGTCCAGTTACCTTTGGCTGGGGAGAAAAAACTCTCCCAAGAACAGCCTTTAAGTGGAGGAAATTCAGTCTGAAAACAAAGTACATACAAAGTGTAAATAAAAATCCACACAAACCACGCTGCAGTAATTACCTTGACAGGGCAGGAGAAGGAGTTGCAGACTTGAAAGTCCAGCAAAACACATACAGTTAGGAAGACACCAGGAACCTAGATAAGCCTCAACGATACCAGATAACGCACGATTTGTTCCCAACAGTTTGCTGTGCGCAACTTCCCTTTTTAAACACTGTTTTCCCAGCTGCAGCTAATGAAGGGGATCAGGGCCCCTTTCCTCCCCCATAAGCCATGCAACTCATGTTGCTCCCTTCTCCATTCCTCCCTGTGTGCCCTAGGATGAAGAGGGGGTGGGCCTGGGTCTTCCTCTGAATTCCCTCTGCCTTGCTCTACCTCTCCCCTGCTCTGCCCAGCTGGACTTTGCCCTTCCCCACTTTCTTCCACAGCCAATGGAGCCATACTCCCACTCCCTGTCAGCTCTTCAGCCTCCTCCTCTGAATCAGATTCCGACAGGGGCATGACAGTCCTGCACTTAGGCAGAAAAAACCAAATGCACAGGTATAGAATAGGCAGTACCTGGCTCAACGGCAGTAATTGTGAGAGAGATCTGCAAGTCTGTGGTGGATCACCACTCAAGTGTGGGTCAAGAATCTACTGCAGCTGCCCAAAAAGCCAATGCAGTCCAAGGTTGCATCAACAGAGGAATAGCATCAAGATCATGGGAAGTGGGTAGTACTGTGCTTTATACTGCACTGGTGAGACTATACTTGGAATACGGTGTCCAATTCTGGTCACTACAATTTAAAAAGATGCCAAGGTCCTAGAAAGAGTTCAGAGAACAACAAAAAGGTAAGGGGTCTGGAGTCTAAATCACAAATAGCTCAGGGAACTAGGTATGTTTAGCCCAGCATTGTCAAACTGGTGGCCTGTGGACTGGATGTATCATGCCATGCCCAGTTTAGCAAAGGGGGAAAAAATCCCGAGATGTCACATGATGCCGTCATAACAATACAAGTTTGACGCCCCTGGTTTAGCCTAATGAAGAGACGGGTTAGGGGGACACAACAGCTGTCTTCTAATACTTGAAGGCCATCCCAGGGAAAAGAGCAGCATTTAATCTCCACAGCACCTGAGGGTAGGACAAGAAGCAATGGGTGGAAGCTTGTCAGAGAGCGATTCAATCTGGAATTAAGGAGGCATTTCCTGACAGGGCAATTAATCAATAGAACTGCTTGCATCCTGGAGTTGTAGATGCTCCATTGCTAGAGGTTTGCAAGAAAAGATTGGACAGTCATTTGTTCAGGATGGTATAAGGACTTTGGTCTTGAGCAGGGGGTTGGACTAGAAGGCCTCCAAAGGCCCATCCAGTCCTATGATTCTATGAGTCCTTCATTGGTCATTGGGGATTATGACCTTACAAAAAGGATCCAACTGTGCAGAATTGGGTCCCCTTCCCTTCCGCTAGTTTTCCGGGATTTCGTCCCCTGCCTTTAAACCGATATTCTACATGCACCTTTTAAAACCTGCTGGTTGGAGCAGGTCCTCTGACTTTCTTTGGGCCATTTGCAGATCCTCTCAAGCTCCTCCTCTCTTGATGACATCTTAAATAATGTTCCAGATAATTTAATTGAATTTGTTCCCAATTCATTGCTGGTGTTTGGAGGCCAGATTCCAGATCTCCACAAAATCAACGAGAAACCGTGGTCTCCACAACAGGTATGGCTCTGGGCATATTTGCTGACTGAACCAGGGAGACTCTTGCATTTCTTGCTTCTGATGTGCTCTTCTCATTCCAGGCAGCAGTCATGTTTGGAGATATCTTCACCAGAATTGAGAACTACACAATGTGAGTTCTGGGCTCATAATAGTAGAGTAAGGGAGGATGTTATGGTAAGGAGAAAACCAAGATAGAGCAGCTGCAGATGGAATTTATTTATCTATTTGTCCTTCAAATAGTGTAGGATATTTCAATTATAAACTGTATGGGGAATGATGACACAATCATGCTTAAGCAGCTTGCTTCTTCACAATATACCTAGGGTGTGTATTCTTGAACTTAAATGCCCATTTGGTTAGTTTATGATTTAGTATGTTCTGAACATGCAGAAATGGGTTGAGCATGTTGTATATACATACAGTAATAGTTTTATTTTTCAAACTAGCAAAGCATGTGTTACATTCTTGGGAGACCTATCAAGCTCTCAACATTTCAGTTTGAGCCTCTGTCTAAAGTAGCCCTCAGCTTCCCACCACAGTTGAGACCAGAACTTCCATTGCTAAGCCCAATTTTGCAGTTGTTAAGCAGTCATTAAACCAATGACGGTAATGCAAGGACTACTTATACTTGAGATATTCAACATGAACTTCTACAAAGGGGGCCAGGAAAGTCAAGATGGTAGCTATGACTGATCAAATTTTTGCCTCTTTTAAAATTTTATATCTTTATTTGATTTCTATAGGCCCCGTCTCAAGCAAATGACTCTCAGCAGCTTGTGCATCATTTATAGCCTCTATAGCAGGGACAGAATTTTGATAATTCTGTAGATTCTGGGCTGCAAACTTTGTTTTTTTGACAGTCATATCTGATCATCCATTTCTTTTGTGAGAGAACAAAGCCCTTATTGAAATCTGGTGTAATTATCTTTTAAGACTGTGGCTTTCACTCAGTGTATCTCTGTGGCTTTCAGGCTTTCTCCATTCATCTTGCAAGGCTTTCAGTGTGATGTGGCAAGTAAACTGATACCTGGGCAGCTCTCCTCCCTAGTCCAAGAAGTGAGGCGTCAAAAGGCCAATTTGAGTGAAGAACAGGTAAGGAGATCTCTTGGACCAGGTTCAGATCAAACCCAGGTTCAAGGTAGAAAGAGGGCAAGGGCTGAATACAGTGGGGCAGAAGCCAGGAGTCTGTGATGTCAGTGGCAAGAAAAAAGGCCCAGGCCCTGTTCCTGCCCAAAGCAGGAGCCTGGCAGATTGCTATGAAACAGGATAATATTTGAATTCTACTTGTGATATCCAGCCATCATCTATAAATTGGCTTTTTTCATTAATGGCTTTTCTAGCATTTGCCATAAAACCGACCTCTCAAGACCTTTGTCTTAGAACATTTGCTTATCACACATCCAGAATTGGCTGAGACAAGCCTGACACTGGCTGGCTGGATATTAAAGGATAGCTGGGTAATTAATTTATTGTGGTTTCCTAAAGCTGGTGAAACCATCAACCCACCTATTTACTTCAGGATTATATAGAAGGGGGAATTTCCTTATAGCAGAAAAAAAAGCTCCAACTCTCTTTTCTTCTTGATAAGTCATGAACATGTGGGTTTTCTGTCTGAATAACACACCATAGATACCAATTCTTGGAGGAAATAGTGCAAGGAGTCAGCCAAAGACCTGATTTCCCCATTCATTCCACTTTTAATGTCCCATTAGATTTTATTTCTGACTGTTTATGCACTGCTTTATGTCTACAGTGGCAGATGTGGGGTTCAATAATGCCTCTAAAATATATGTTAGTTTATCTGAAAAATTTGTGGGTGATTTTTCTCTTCCATTTTACTTTGTTGACAGTTCTGTAGTCTTCTCGGGAAGAATTAAACTATGATCTCCAGCTGAAAGAAGCCTTTTCTGGTACCATAAGTGAATTGGAACCAGAATGCACATGATTAATAACAATGACCTTTAATGTTCTGCTTAGCATTAAGTTAAAAAATTAGCAAGCCATAGTTTTAATTATGCAAAGTCTGTTAAAATTCTGATTCTAGTCTTTCCCAGTCATGTAACTTCTGGGTGTTTGAGCCCCACCCAATTCCCCAGAACTCTCCAGAAGACTCCCTAAGACACCTTCTGTCTGCTCACCTGGATTTTAATCATGCTGATGGAGATTAGATGTGCTGAAGTGCAGCCATGCAGGTGGCCACATGGTTGGAAAGTTTATGGACCTTCTTTTTTTTGCTTATTGTGACAGCAATGTCTTATTTTTTTTCCCATCAGCTATCCTGCATGGCCAGACTTCTCATCAAAAGCAACCTGACCACAAATCTCAGCAGATACCCAGCGGATGTTCTGCTTTTTTTCCTGTGAGTAGTTCTGAAGTGGACTTTCCAGCAGAAGGAAGGGTCTTTTTTGCCTCTTTCAAGTCACTTTTACAGCTTTTCTTCTGGCTCTCTTTTGGTTCTAACAATTTTAACCTTTTCCAGCAACTGTCCAAAATACGAGTCCCAGGAGCAACAATGATCTTTATGACATGATATGAAATATTTATGCAATTACTCAAAATCTAGCTATGGAGGGTGGGGCATCTTAAATGATGAAAATTCTGTTGTTGTTTTTTTTCCCAGCGTTAGTAAAGTAGAACATCAAAGCTGTGAAATGTTTTACACTTTGGCTTCCCAAGGGAACCTAAGTTTATTGGCCAATGGATCATCCCAGCGGACCAGACTTTTGGAGAATGCATTGCATTGTTTTGTGAGTAATGACTCTCTCTCCCTCCTTCTCTTTTCCTGGCTGACTTTTGTGTTCTACAGAGCAGGCTTTCTAAACCGGGATGTGCACATCTCAAGAAGTGCACAAGATGATTCATTCAGATGTGAGAAGATAGGTTAGAATACTGATTTATATTTATTTACCCCTGCCTTTTCTAGTTTCATTTTGGGGATATGTTTTATAATGTACATATTTTAATATAATAGTACATGTACATTATATAGCATGCACCCACCACTCGTACAAATGGAACACAAGCACTCACTTGCTGCTTGCACAAGTGAGGCTGTGCGCACGCACACACTTGCCTGACTTGCCAGTTCCGAATGGCTCACAGTTGGGGCCCCAGATTTGGATGAAACAGGTTCTGATTGGCCTCTGTGGATATTCTAAGCCGCTACAATTCCTCCAGAAGAGGGTAGATCAGAGGCAGAGAGAGAAATAAAAGGGTGGTTGGATCCAATCCAACCTTGCCTGGTTGACTCAGAATTCCACTTGTTCATGGTAATCCCGGACTGGATTTTAATGCTTCTGGTTTACAGTCACACAGGAAATCCTACCCGCCCCCGCTCCCAAAAAAACCCTCAAACATTACTCTCCTCTTGACTCAAAGCATTGCTTTGTTCTCCACAAGCATGGCTCTCAACTTGGCATTCATCCAAATGCAGATTAAAGATTGATCAGGTATTGAAAGAGAAGTGCAAAATTCTGGCTGCCCTTAGCCAGGCAAAACTCCTGGATCAGATATTAAGCTCAATCTCTGTTTTACAAGGGAGTAAAAAATACTTCACTCAGCAAAGAGCAGCTCCAAAAGCTGGGAGTCTTTGTGTGTGACATGAAGCCACCCACCATCACAGACTCCGACCTGGCAATCCTGGAGAATTTGAAAGAGTGTCCAGATCTCACAGCTGCTCAGATTACAGCCCTCAGGATGCTCCTGGCCAGTGGGAACACCTTATATGGGTGAGTGAGAGTCCCTTAAGAATGAAAAAGGACTGTTTTAAAAGGGCAATTAAAAGACCGGGGCAGGGGACGGCACATTGTCTCTAATTTTAATGCAAAAATTCAATTTTTTATAAACATATCAATGAACTAAGTTTTTGAATATACCTTTTTAATGTTTTGTGTTTTTTTCTTTGTTTCTCTTAAATGTTTTGGGAGTTCTATATTCTAAATTTTTCTGAAAATTTAAAAATAGAAAAAATTTAAAAATAGAAAAAAAAACCCATTTTTTATCACACAAACAGGAAATTCTCAAAATCACTTAAATATGAGCCATCAGTGTGTGACAGCAGCCAGAAAAGCCAATGCAATCTTAGGTTACAAAGAGATAGACTCGAGATTACGTGAAATGTTAGTATCTCTTTATAAAACCTTAGTAAGACCATACTTGGAATACCGTATCCAGTTTTGGTCACCATATTGCAAAAAACATGTTGAGACTCCCGAAAGAGTGCAGAGAAGAGCAACAAAGATGGTTAGGGGGCAGGAGCCTAAAATACATGAAGAACAGTTGCAGGAATTGGGCATGGCTAGTCTAGTGAAAAGAAGGACTGCAGGAAACATGATAGCAGTGTTACAATCGGGGTGGGATTCTACCAGTTCTCACCTATTCAGTAGAACTGATAGTTAACATTCTAAGTAGTTCAGAGAACCGGTTGTTAGAAGAAATGACTGGCCTAATCCTGTAAGGAAGGCAGGAAGGAAACATTCTGGGTGTTGCTTACAGAAATTGCCTCTCCGTTAACCCTTATTAACATTCTTGGAAGGACTAGACTTCCTGTCTCAGGAACACCTCTGCAGTTCCCCTCCCACCTTTGCTGGTACTTTGCTTGTGTGGAATGACCATTCAAAGTTACAATGGCACTGAAAAAAGTGACTTATGACCGTTTTTCACACTTACAACTGTTGCAGCATCCCCACAGTCATGAGAGGCCAGGCAAGGTGATGCGTGCCTCGATGTGAGTGATGTTGAGTTAGCCACGCCCAGCCAATAACATGACCACACCCAGCCAATAACATGACCACCAAGCCATGTCCACCCAGTCACATGACCACCAAGCCACGTCCACCCAGTCACATGACCGCTAAGCCACACCTACATAACCGGTTGTTAAAAAATTTGAATCCCACCCCTGGTTAGAATACTTGAGGTGCTGCCACAAAGAAGAGAGGGCCAACCTATTTTCCAAAGCACCCGAAGGCAAGACAAGGATCAAAGGATGGAAGCTAATCAAGGGGAGAACTTAGAACTAAGGAGAAATTTCCTGAGAACAATTATCCAGGGATGCTCCATCACCAGAGGCTTTTAAAAAGAGACAGAACAACCACTTGACTGGAACCACTTGACTGGAAAGGCAGTGATGGCAAACCTGTTTATTGTGGTGTGCCAAAAGCATATGTGTGTGTCAGCACCACCATGCAATGTGCCCCACCATATGCACATACTCACAACACCCCCACCCCACCCTCTTACCTGCATTGCGCATGCGTGTGCCTCCCAGCTGATTTTCGGCTAGTTTGAGGCAGTTTTCGCCCGCCCGGAGGCTCGAGGGAAGCCTCTGCAGCCTTGAAAGGCCAAAAAATGGGCCTTCCGGAAATACTGGAAGTGCCCATTTTCAGCCTCCGGAGGGCCTCTGGAGCCCGCGAGAGGCCATTTTCGCCCTCCTGAAGGCTCGAGGGAAGCCTCTGGAGCCTTGGGAGGCTGAAAACGGGCCTGCTTCGGCATTTCTGGTATTTCTGGAAGGCCTCCCAAGGCTGTAGAGGCTTCCCTCAAGTCTCCACGAGGGTGAAAATAGCCTCAAATGGCCTGAAAATCAGCTGGGAGGCACACGCATGTGCAGTGCAGTTAAGTTTGGCTGGGGCTCGCATGCCTGCACAAATGGCTCTGCATGTTCTGACCCAGGCTTTGTCAAACTTAATAAAACACAAACTGATTTTAAAAGTAAAACCCATTTTAATGCAATGCTGGGAATTACTTGCATTCCCAGCCAAAACTAATCATGCACAGTTCGTCCAGATAAGAGCACGCTTTTCAGTGCTGTAGAATGCTGCCAACAAACAGATGTCCAATTAAGGCTTAACATAAACCAACCCCAAACCCCAGAATACTGAGTACAGAGACCAGAGTACAGAGCTTCAAGACGGACTTGGAAATTACTGAACTGCTTTGTTTCCTGAAAAGCTTTTCATCACTGATTTTTATCCCTCAGGGGAGGGGCAATCACCTCCCAGCCTTACTCCCGAGTTGCCCGTTCTGCTTCAGCTGCTCTCACCTTCTAGCAGCTCTGTGCACATGCGCACTGGGAACAGGCTCCCTGGGGTCCTCTGCTTCACTGCTGCCAGACTCCAAAGGCAGCATCCCACTTCCAGATGGTCCTAGCCCCATCCCTGCATCGGATGCAGGACCCTCATCCGAGTCCACTCCAGACTCCTTGACTGGTCCCCTTTTGTCCTCACTGTCCGACACTTCTGCCGTTTGCACCTGCTGCTGGCGAACTACAACACTGTGTGTCACATGTGACATGTATGCCATAGGTTCACCACCACAGGTCTCCTGCTTGAGCAGTGGGTTTGACTAGAAGACCTCCTGGGTCCCCTCCAACTCTGTTATTCTGTTCTGTTTTCTTCTTATTTTGTCTAACTGGCAATATCTATAGAGACAAGGGGCCTGGCTATTAGCCCTTTGAAAGTCAGGGTTGAAGGTGACCTAGACTTCTATTCTCCCCTGAACACCGAACTAGCAGGGCAGCCTTCGCCCACAGCACTCTCTCTCACTCCCAAGACGGAGGCAACGGCAAACCTCTTCTGAAATCTTTCGAAGAACCTGCAGGTTCTTGGCAGTCACCAAGAGCCAGCACTCACACAAAGGCAAAAAGAAAAGAAAAAAGAAATAGCCCTTTGGAATTCCGCAGGTTTGCAGAACACCCCACCCCTAGATTCTCAAAATATATTATGGAAATATCTCATAGTGGACACGAAAATATTAGTTAGCTTTTGAGTGGATAGAAAGGAATATGGAAAACAGAAATGAATGGAAGTCCTGCTTAGTTACCATTTAAGTTTATATGTATTTATCAATATGGGGTTATGCTGGTCAAAGACTGTAACTTAAGACTGTAACTTACTGCCATGAACTATAGGGACACACAAAGATGATAATTAGCAGTACCATTGAATTAATGGGAAGGGAGCATAGATCGAGGTTTATTTTTATAGATTTCTTCAAATTATAAAATGTTAAAAAGCAGATCTTTCAAAATGTCTTCAGAGTCAGAATTGCACATTTACCTAATTATTAATTTTGCTTTGCTGGCCATGAGCTGTATCCCATACAATAATATTACACACAATCACTATCTAACACCTATTTTCATGTGACATAGATCTCCTGCCTCCTGGGATGAAACAACCCTTGAAGACCTTGGGCCTCTTGCTTTCTACATAAATCACACGATCTGGGATTCCATTAACAAGGTAGGAGGAGTAGATGAACCTGCGTGCTGTGGTTCCTCCCTGAAGTCAAGATGGCAGCCACAATTGTGAAACTTAATCTCTATTCTCTCAGGGCTAAAGAGAATAAGTGGCGCAAGGCCATTCAACTGGCTCCATGCCGAGGGTGGGACAAGAACTCACAGTCTCCAGGTTTTTAGCCTGGTACTGTTGAAAGGCTGGAAAATGCCTTTCTTCTGAGGGCTCGATTTTCCTGCTGGTGGTGGTGTTGAGTATTTCTCTTGCTAAACATTCCCATATGTTTTCCTTTCTCTGGGATAAGCTTTGGTTCCAGGAACGCAGTTGCTTGTGTTACAAATGTTACAATTATTACACATAATAATACATAGAATATACTGCATTTCATGTTCCCCGTTGCTAGATTCCTTTTCTTCCCTTCCTCTCCCCCTCCTCTTTTTTTTTTTAATAGCAATGTAAAAAAAATGTAAAAGGTCAAGTATCAAAAAATTATGAGTAAGGTATGGTTAAAGTCCTTTTTGTTAAAAAAAATACGATTAAAAAATGTTTTAAAAAGGGGGAAAAAATGGAGAAGGTGAGACAAAAAATAAAAAAAAAATAGTTTATAACTCAGCACCTGGGAGTCCAGTTTTGTTTAATGCAACGTTTGCACTTGGTTCCTCACAGTGGTGTGGTTCAACAGTGTTGAAGAATGCTGCAAGCGTCCATTGATCTGTGTCCCGATCTTTCTTGAGTTTGATGGGTGGGATTGATTGTTGGTGGAGTTTGGCTATGGTCTATAACTGCTGGCTTTGCATGTGTCCAATGTAGCCAAGAGTCTCATTCTGCAAACCTTTATGGTGGTGTGTGTAGTCAGTAAAACTTGGTAGGGTCCTTTCCACCTGGGTTGTAGAGGGGAGGTTCTGGTGAAGAACTTGATCCACACCCAATCTCCTGGCTCATATGGATGCAGGGCTTCTTCCAGGGGTAAGGTCTGTGTCAGTGCACTCTGGGTCCAGAAGGTCTGTAGTCTCTTTTGCAGGGCTGTAAGATAAGAAGAGAGAACCCTATCCCCCCCATCTAAGCAAAGGGAGTGAGGATCTAGGCTGAGAATAAGGATCCTAGTAGGGTATGGAGGGGTGACCAAAAAGGATCTCAAAGGGGGGAAATTTGTCTGGTTCTGAAATAAAAGAGGGCAATTGGGAGCACTTGTGGCCAGGAGAGGTGTGTCTCCTGACAGAGTTTGCCCAGTAGGGTCTTCATCTCTTTGTTTGCTCTCTCCATGGCTCCTTTAAATAGTCCCACTTCTGATGCATCCCAGCCCCATAAGGAGGATGGCAGGCTTTTTAAATCTTCATGAAGCCCTGTGTTGCTGGTTATCAGCATGATTGTCTTGTGTGTGCCTTTTCCTGGGATTTCCAATTGCAGCCCCTGTTTGCCACATATTATGGTAGCTCCCATTTTACATAGGAGATCCGTTCCTAGTAGAGACAGTGGGGACTGGGGGCAAATAGTAAATGCATGGTCTACTGTGAAAGGTCCTAGTTCTACTGGTACATTGTGGGTAAATTCTACAGAGATTATTCCCCCACCTCCCATTATGCTATCCCGAGCCCCTTCAGCCACTGAAGCTTTATATGGTGATTCAGTAATGAGGAGGTGGCTCCAGTATCAACTAAGCAATTGTATTTCTTTCCTCCTATAAGAATGGTTACAATGGGTTCCCCTTCTGGGCCGTTTTTTAGGGGGATAGCCAGCCCGTTAAAGGTAGCCATGAATTCAGTGCTTTCATTGTCATGTTCTAGTCAAGAAGGGGGTAAATCTTGTTCTCTCCTTTGCTCCCATTAATGTCTATTGTTATTATTTATTGGAGGAAAGGGAGCACTGGGTGGTGCCTGGTGACTGAAACTTTGTTGCTCAGTGTAATGGACTGGATTATTGGCTGGCCTCATGTTCCTAGGTGGTGGGTGATACCGGTTGCAGGAGGGGTGTTGCCTACATTGCCTGCTGAAATGACCTTCCTGTCTGCACCTATAGCAATGCTGACATTTGCCTTGAGACCATCCTGCTTTATCGCAATGCCAGCATTTATTTGAATTATAGGGGGTTTTACCTGGCGTTTGTCTGGCATGATGTTTCATTACAGCAAACATTTTTTAAGTCTTCCTGTCTTTCTATTCATCTCTTTCTATCTTTCTATTCCTCTTTCAGCTTGTCTCTTTGATCATAGACAAAGTTAGCAATCCTGCGCAACTCTGCTATGTCTAAGGTTGGCCAGTTAGAGATGAAGCGGTGGAAATATTCTTTAATATCTAAGGTGGACTGATCCACGAAGGCTGAAGCTAAAATCCTTTGGTCCTTCAGGCAGCTAAGGTCTAGGTGGGCATATGCAGTAGCTGCTTCTGACAGGCGGACCCAAAAGGCATCAGGGTTTTCCTTTTCCCTTTGTGTTTTTTTTTTTTTTGAAATTCAGACTAGTTTAAAAGTTTTTTTTTCTTATTTCTTCTAGAGCTTCTAGTAAATTATCTTTTGCTCTAGTGTATTTGTCCCATTGATTGGTATCATTATACAGGGCGATGTACTGGCCCTGCGATGCGGGCTGGGGCTGCCTGACCAGGGATAGTTGGTGGTTTGCCTATTTGGTCTTTTTTTTTTTCCAAACATTTTTAATAGTTCGTCTTTCATTAGAAAGACTTGTAACAGCTGAGTCATGTCACCCCAGGATGGATTATGGCTGTCTATGATAGATTTCAGGGTTTTAATGACTGTTTGAGGATCAGCCCTGAAAGCTGGGGTATCCTTTTTCCAGATGACTAGGTCAGAGGCAGCGAAGGGAGTGTGGGTAAAAACATATTCTAGTTGTCCCCTATTTCTGCCTGGCACTGGCTTGCTTAAAAGGGGAGCCATAATCCGTGCCTCAGTATTCCCTTCCCTGAAATGGGTTTCAGGCTTTTCCTTATTTTTTCCTCGGTCAGGTCTTTGGTCCTAACAATTTCAGACCAGCAATAGCAATAAGGTATTTGGCTGGGCTTAATGCATGTTCTAAGTGCTTTCAGAGTTTTATAATCTAAAGTACCGCTATCAGGCCAAATTTGTCTACCCGTGTCATCTCGCAATAAAGCCCACTTTTTGCAAATTCTTTTTGCTTCCTTTTTATTCATTCCAGTTAGGACAGGCACTTGCCTTTTGTCCCAAGCCTCAAGTAATTTATCCAAGGGGGTCTCTTCCATTGCCCTCGAGCTACAACTTCCCATATTCCCTACCTGATGTGGGGATTACTTTGGTTTAGCCGGGCTCCCGCCGTCAGTTTTCAGACAAAAAAAAGGTCTGGGAAGGACTTCGGTTTCCCTACACACGGAGTATGGGCCCCTTTCTCGTAGGGAAACTCCGCCATCAGTTTTAAGACCCCCCCCCTAAAAAACAGGGATCTTGGAGGACCGTCTGCCCCCTAGCAGCCTGGTACGGGCCCCTTCCTACACTCCACCATCAGTTTTCAGATCTCCCTTAAAGGTGGGGATCTGGAAGGACCTGCTCTGCTTTGTAAAGCAAACTATTTCCAATTTTGTTTGCCAGCAGCTGGTACGGGCCCCTTCTAAATGCATAGGGCTTTACTTGCGGGATGCACTGGGACTATTTATTCTGCTTTCTATTTATTTCCCAACATCAGTTCCTTTCTCAGCCCACTCGGTTTTTCTTACGTCCTTCAGAAGGACTCACACTCTGTGATCACCCCTTGCGTTCCCAAATCCAGCCGGTCACGGCTTGTTGGAGCTAGCAGCTGGCTGGGGTGGGGCTGGCAATCACAGAGGAGGTGAGGTCCCACTGTTTCAGCAGAGAAAACCCACAATCACACACCTGGTACACTCACGCTTCCACTCCCCTCCCTAGTAAGATTATAAATTTGAAGTGGTACTCACCTGCTTTCAAGCAGCTGTTGAGCAGAAAAGCCCAAGGACTCCCTTTACTACCCTTATGCCTTCCGGGCTGGGTCCGTGGATGTTTTCCCTGGACAAAGAAGGTCCATGCCGGCTGGGTTTGGATCTGCGGGCCCGGTCCGGTGGCAGGGTTGGCTGGAAAACCTTCATGGTCGCCAATTGTTGAAAGGCTGGAAAATGCCTTTCTTCTGAGGGCTCGATTTTCCTGCTGGGAGGGCTCCGGTGCAAGGACACAGACAACTGCTTGGAAGCTGGTTTATTTTTCAGGAAGGCAAGAGATAGCAAGAAGTCTATGTTCCTGGGGCTAGCCATCTTTGTATAATAAACCCCTGATTTTTATACCTTTTCTCCTTTTGTGTGTGTGTGTGCTTGTGTTTGTATTTCTTAATGTTTTAAATCCTGTCAGGGGGTTGTCTTCATTTCCGCCAGAGGGTAAACTCCGCGGGGTGGTTTGATTGGATTATCAGTTTCATCCTGATGTTTTCTTATATTTGTTTGGTGGCAATCTCCTGTCTGCTATGGAATTTATTTTGTGTCTTTTGTCTATTTGTTTTGCTGATTTGGCATGACCTGTTGTTTGTAAAGGATTTCTTTTTCTTGTTTCCCTAGCTTTCTTAATTACTTGGCTTTTGTCTAGGGGGCTTCTTTCAATACCTTTTATTAAATCTCTTTTCCTATGCAAGTTTGTTTTATGGCTGGCCTGATGTTCCCTTTGGGCTTTTCCTGCTTGGGTGTCACCACTGTCCTCATGAAGTTCCCTTTCCACAGTACATTAGCCTTTACACCAAACCATCTCTCTTCATTAAAAAAAGTGATGTATTGTCCCAATGGATTTTCTGTTCCTCAGGAAGAAAGGATGATCTTCTTCAGAAAGGTGATGGATGGATACAGCCAAAGAGCTTTTCCAAAGGCAAAAACAATCCTCTTCTTAAAATCGGTTGGATCTAAGGCTGCTTCCGCTCCTAGAACTAAACGGGCAACTGAAAGTAAGGGAAAAAAATTGGCTTCTTGGTCTGTTGCACAGTATAAAAATAAATGCACAAGCAATTAAAATGCACTGAATTTAAAAGTATTCTCTTGGAAAATAGGGGGCTTGAATAGCCTAAGTAAAAAAAATGTACAGTAATATTCTGGTTATATAGTATAGTGAACTCGTATCATTTTGTCATTCAGCATATTCTTCAATATTTTGCTAGCATTACTATTTTTTCCTGCAGTCAGATAGCTTTTTAACATCCTGTCAATATTATGGGTAGAAACCTGTAGTCAGCCTCACTCCCTCAGCAGGATGTCAGAAGCAGGGCCGCTGGGACAGAATAGACGCAGGAAAATGAAATACGGAGGATGATATCCCTGAGGAAAAAGCCAGGACCAGCTGCTGTGCTGGGCAAAGAGAAGGATAGAGGAGGCCAGGGGAATTATATTAACAGATTTTAACAATAGATCAAGAGCTAGTAAGGCTCAAGGAGTGGGAGAACTGTAGGAGGGACATCCACAAAAAAAGTCAAGGTGGTGACTGCAATTGTGCAATCAAAACCCTCCCTCTTTATGTGCATCACGTGCAATGCATGGAAAAAGGAACTGAGTTCCCGTTATTCAGTTGTTGCCCCCATTTTGACTTTTAAAATTCCCCCCCGCCTTCCTGGCACTTTTATCCATAAGTAGGGATTTCCTTAAAGATTTTGGGGAGGTCAGTTGTAAAACTAGGCTTAGCTGGTGCTACAGTTGGATAACAAAAATCTCTCAAACCACCATGTCATCCATTACAGTGTTAATCTATCATTTTTGTAGCGTACACGGTTTGTTGTTACTTACCACATACATTAAAATTCAGAGGAAGGGCAGCCAAAGACAAGGGAATTGGTGGGAAAGTATGAGTGAGGAGGAGGAAATGTTTGGGTGACTTGAAGAAAAGGTGAGACACTGAGACAGGAGGAGAGCGACAGAGAGTTGGAAGTTGGGGCAACAGAGCGAAAGAGTTTTGGCTTTCAGAAGTCTTCCTTTCCCAAAATCTGTTCAAAAAGAAATGACTTCTTTCCTGTGACTTCTGCCCACAGCTTGCCGGTCTGCTCCCATCACCAGCAGCAACCTAGAAGATCCACTTTTCATAATTCGCTATGACAGTGCCCAGCAGTTGGATGCATGCCTGAGTGATGAAGTCGTGAAGGCCAACCTGGCTCTTCTGCTTGAACAGCCCCTCCCGAATGACTACGTGGCCATAGTTAAAAAGAAATTAGACAAGGTGAGAGGCCCAAGGACTTAGGAGGGGCTGAAGTATACCAGGGGTGTCTTCAGAGGGATCTCAAAAATTGAAACAGTAGCTGACATTGTATGATTGACACACTCACCCCATTTTTTTCCTAAGCACAGAAACTCATCCAACTAACAGGCCCCTGGGATTTCAATACAGTAATGGGGTTTAATGCCAGGACAAAAGGGCTCAGGGTGTAGAATCTTAGAAAGTGAGTAAGTCTTCACTCAGTCCTCAACTATTAGTTGTTTTCTTAAGGCAGGCTTGCTGAGTTGCTTCCGTTTCTTTACTACAAACTTTAACAAAGACTTTAAGCAGAAAAACATTGACACATCAATCTGTCCTTGGTCCTGTTTTGAAACATCTACTTTACTTTGTAGTCCTCCCCCAGGGTTCTCCCCCCACCCAAAGTGTGAAGAGCATTCTTGCCATGTGCTCCTTTTTCTACCATGATGATTAATTAAACCCCATCAACTCTTAGCAACTAAATACATATTTTCTAGAAGCTCTGCTCTCGACCTGGGCTTTGTAGTGTCTCAATAGCACATTTCTTGAAGTTTTAGTCAAGCCCTTCCACCTTGCTGCTGGTCATTCTTTTCTCCTCTTTTTCCAGCATTATATAATATATAATGCATTATATAAGACTTCTCAAAGAAACTGGGTCTTTGCATAATGTGTTCAAAGCAGGGGAATTAATGTCTGGTCATTTGTGCCGCATGGGATTTTTGGACTGTTCTATGATCCATTTGTTTGGTTTCCTGATATCTATGATTCACCAGCACCAAAATTCAAAAGCCTTGATCATCTTTTGATCCCACTTCTTCAAAATCCAATTTTCACATCCACAGAGCATCACACACACCCCTTACATGGTCATTAATAAAACCTTTTTCTAATGAAGGCCCCCTCCCCTTTCTTAGAGCTACCCAGATGGGATTCCAGAAGATCAGTTGAGATTGCTTGGCTTCCTCTCACGTCAGTACAGCACAGATGAGATTGGCAGTTGGAACCTCACTTCCAGTGACACCCTGGCTGCTCTTCTGAATCCAAACGATGGTGCCTGGGAGATGCCACAGGTAGTGTATCCAAAGGGTCTCTTTAGCAGGGGCCATCTAATGGCCAAACAGAATTGCTGTGAACTAGTAACAGCGAAGGCTTTTTGTTTTCTTTTCATTTTAAGCCAGAGGTGTACTGAATGTTACTTTAAGTATACACTTTTCTGACTACCTCCTTTACCTTTTTACACAAAAATGTGGCATTCTTATATGGATGCATATTACAGATATCCAAATGTTGAATGGTCTTTAGATACCTCCTGCTCTGTAGACTACATGTATCAGTCTGAATGAAAAATATTATATATATATATGTAATTTTATCTCATTTCTTAGACCACATAGACCACATAGATTCTTCAGCATTTTTTTCTAGATATTTACCAGCCTCACCTCTTGTCACTGCTATGGACTTGCATCCTTTCTTAAAATGTAACTTCTTTTCTTGCAGCTCAGGCGGCTGGTTTCAAGATATATGGAACTGGGAGGCTCACTCACTGGTCCCTTATTGGACATGCTGGGAGGCAAATACCTGTGTTTTCTGGATGAAGAAGAGCTGCAGGAAATCAGCCCAGCATCCATTAGGTACATTGCTGTTTCTTAGTGTGTGTGTGTGTGTGGGGGGTGTTAACTAAAGGAGGAGGAAATGACTCCTGGGCCCAGTCTGGAAATGACAGTGGAAGATGATTGGGGAACAATTAGCAAATAGGATTGTCCACTTATTAGTAATTAGCAAGTCACTAATCTAAAATGGTATAGGTTCTCCTGCTTAAGCAGGGGGCTGGACTAGAAGACCTCCAAGGTCCCTTCTAGCTCATTCTATTCTATTCTAAAGACGCAAGACGCAAGGGAGGAACACGTATCCTGAGGAGATTAATTAGTAAATATGGCTGATGGCTGCTCTCATAGAAAAAATACAATAGAAAACATACCAATACAAAGCAAAAACACAATAGCATTACTACTACTAAAAGTTCATCCATCCTACTATTCTTCTTCTGAGTGATTGCCAACATATGGCTGTCCTTATTCTTCATTATTCTAAGATAGAACTTCATGATAGAAATGATAAATATGGTTGTGGAAAGGGAACTTCACGAAGCCAGTAGTGTCACTCAAACAGGAAAAGCCAAAGGGGAGTGTCAGGCCAGCCATAAGACAAGCTTACATAGGAAAAGGAATCAAATAAAAGGTATTAAAGAATCCCTATAGACAAAAGCCTAAGTAATTAAGAAAACTAGACAAATAAGAAAAGGAAACCCTTACGAACACAGGACATACCAAATAAGCAAAACAAACAGACAAAAGACACAAAAAAATATAAATTACAAAAGAGACAGACAGGAGATTGCCACAAGACAAATATGAAAATCCATTATAAAGCTAAAAGAGATTAGGAAAAAAAACGATAATACAATCTAACCGATAGTACAATCTAACTTGCCTTCCGCACCCCACGGAGTTTGTCCTCCGGCAGGAATAAAGACAAACTCAAACAGGATTTGACACATTAAGCACAAATACAGACATTCACATGAAATCAACTCACAAAGGGAGAAAAGGGTATAAAAACCCAGGGATTTACCATAAGAAGCTAGCTAGCCCAGGAACGCAGACTTCTCACTGTCCCTTGCCTTCCTGAAAAATAAAAAGATCCAGCTTTCAAGCAGTTGTCCGTATCCTTGCGCCGGAGCTCTCCCAGTGGGAAAATCGAATCCTCGAAGGAAAGGCATTTTGACACCTTTCAACATGGTTATGCAGGAAATCCCTGGGTTACGAGCGTTCCCTTAGTGAACGTTTGAAGTTACACTATAAGCGGCCCCTAGCATTTACGAACAAGTCCCCAAATTATGAATATTGCAGGTACTTATTATCATATGTGGTGGCCTTTATGAAAGCTAGAAAATATTGGATGAAAATACACACATGGCTGGAAAAGATGTTTAAGGAACACATAGATTTGAAACCAGAAATATTTTTGTTGGGTATAATGCCAGAAGGATATGATAAAGGGACTGTATACTTAGTTTTGCATGTATTGACAGCTGCAAGGATTGTATTTGCACAATGTTGGAAAATGAGAACATCCCATAAGATGAGGATGTAATTCGGAAAATACTAGACTGTGCAGGGATGGATAGATTGACATTAAAAATAAAGGACAAAGAAGACACAGAATATTACAACATGGAACAGATTTATAAGTGGTTAGAGATAGGAGGTAGAAATTAGGTGAAGAAAGATTATTGTTATCTATGAATTAAATACAAAGAGGGTTAATTATAATAAACATGTTGATATTACTAACAGAACTATAAGCTAATACAAACAAATTTAGTGAAAATTATTTTGCTACACTATCATTATTGTTATGAGTATATATGTTGATACTTCTGTTATTTTTCTCTTGCTTTATCGTAAATAATGCATAAGCGCACCAACGTGCCAACCATCCCTGTCCTATTGTTTCTTTTATTTTTCTTATATGTATCCATGTATTCATAACTATGTTTTTACTTATACCTATTATCTTGTAAGCTATTGACAAACCAAATAAAATAAATAAATAAAAATAAAAATAAAATGATATGCCCTGACAATACACTGTATTCAAAATGTTTATGAATAAAAATAAAACATATACTAAAATGAATAAATAAATATTTCGGAAATGTTCCTGGATTTTTTTGTAGAATCTCATTGACTAAGTCTGATCTCTTACATGTTAAATTCCTTAGGAATGCTGCGAAGTTAGATATTTCCACTTGTGCCCAAGAGAAGAAGGATATCCTGTACCAAAAGGCCCACACTGCATTTGCCAACCAAGAAGAAACACGTGCCTATTATCCTCTTATCCAGCCATATCTAGGTACATTTGATAGGCTATTAAGGTGCTTTCATTCTTTCTGTTTCCTCCAGAATTAATTCACCTACTTTATCTTTAATAATCTGAAATGGGGGCACATCTAAAGATCATTTTACCCCCATTAGCATGATATCCATACTATTCACAAATTATATGATGCCTTCTCCAAAATGTCTTTCAGGCCCTACAAAAATCCATTGTTTATCTCTAACAACTTTTGTGGCTGGGCTTCCATTGTCTTTCATCCAATACTATTCTAAACCATTTCAAAAGGAGTAAAATGGATAATGACAATGATCAAATCAAACTCTGAGAATATGGGGATAGGAAATTGATTAGACAAGAAGAAAATATGATGGGAATAATGGATTAACATGCATAGATTTATTAACATTTTAATGTTAATTATATCAACATTATTAAATGTAGAATCTTACAGGTTTTGGAAGAGGGGTGTAGAAAGTTCTTGTTTACATGATGGAAAGAGTAACTTATCTAGACACATCATCTTCCACCCCAATTTTAACCATTTTTTACTTAAATCGGCTTGGATTCAAGAAGGATTATCAAGAAGGATATGATGTTACCTTTCCCACAGAAATCTAACTCTTTTTTGTCTTTTAAAGGAGGAGCTCCTGTTGAAGAGCTGAAAAAGCTGGCTAGATCTCATGTTGGAATGGATATTGATACTTTTATTAATTTAAATCCGGAAGAAGTGAAGGTTAGTTCTGACATTGTGTCATATGTTGAATATAAGGCAACATAGCAAGCCGCCCCCCCGCCCAGTCCCCCTCCCCAAAAAAGACCTGTCTAAAATCATAAAATTTTAGGGCGTTCTCATCCTGGGCAATATCATCCTGAGGGCCTTGCATATATTTTCATGAACAAATTAAACTGTTGCAAGTGTCACACAAAAACATATCCAGCATCTTTGAAAGGCTTCTGGATGTGGAGGATGATATGAACCTATTGTGAGGATATTTCCCTAATTTGTTCCTTGGTGCAATTTATTTTATCAAGTGACTTCAGAAAATTATTAGCATCCAAGGTAGAATAGGAAAGGCTGTTAAAAGTGTTTGAAATTTCACAAGTGTATTATGTAAATGAGAGCTGTATTTATAATGCTTTTTGGATAAAAGGAATGTAGAATATTTGGGGAAAGAAATAATCATTAACAGAAAAGCTGGCTGTGATGCTACTTCCTGAATTAGCAAAGGTATTGCAACTCTATTGCAGAAACTCCGTGTCCAGGATGTGAAAGATCTGCTTGGTGTTAATTTGCCCGACTTGAAAGAAGTTGAAAACCACCCTTCTGTTGCCATGTGGATCAAGAACAACTTTCAGTCTGAACTGGATTCCCTTGGAATTGGCCTGGTTGGAGGCAGGGCGTCTGTGTTCTCCACTTCTATGGGCAGCACTGTGTCAAGTATATCTCTTAGTACAAAATCTGATGATGCATTCACTGCCGCCTCCCCTGTTATCCCAATCATGGAATCAACCTTATCTAGTCCAGGCAACATCAATGTTACTACCCCTAGCACTCGTTCTGCCTCCTTGGATTTGAACCCATTCATTTCTAGAGATGCTACTGAGTCCTATTCAACTCCTGTCTTCAAAATCACTCTTATGACTAATGAAATCTCTCCTTCCATTAACAATACCCAGACAACTTTTTCTGATACAATGCCTAAAGATGCTTTCCCCACCAATATCTCTGCCAGCGTTAGAGCTGATACTATGGATGGGAGAAGAAATGCACTTGTCCCCACTGAAATTACAATAGATTCCAACAATACCACCACCAACAGAACAGACTTTCCTGTAAGTGGAATCCCAGCCCCTTTCATTGCAAGAGGGGTCAATGCAACGACTTCTAATGAACATATTATAAATTCTAGCAATGTTACCGGTAATAGCACAGCCGCACCTTCCGTCCCCACAAAGTCCTCTGTTTCAGTCCCAACAGAAATTGTAGTTCCCTCTTTGAACATCACTGCTGCTTTCAATGAAACCGGTGGCACACCAGTCCCTCCCATCTCTGCCACCGATTTCAGTAGCAGCACAGCCAGTAGAACAGTCCTTCCTTCTGTACCAACAGATTCGGTCACTGTTGTCCCCACCACTTCCTTAAATGTCACAGCTGTTTCAGATGGAGCATTATTCCATAGCCCTGCAAGATATCTCAACGCAACCGTCTTGAGTAAACTTGTAACAGATTCTAACAATAGCACAGTTAGTGCCCCAGTTGTTACTACCACTCCCTTAGATTCCACCACAGTTGTTATCTCCAAAACCAGAGCTATTTCTTATAATGTTTCAGTAACTTCAAATTATACCATCGAAGACACTCTTTTCCCTTATAATGCAACAAGTAGCAATGCAATCCCTTCTGTTGAAACAACAGTAGCTTCTGATGGCAACACCACAAACAATGACCCAGCATTTCCTAGCCCTGTTATAGTTGGATATGGAACTGATGGTCTCAATGTAACTGTTTCTCACTCGCCCTCTGTTGTCATAAACTTCACTCTTGGTGCAAATACAAGCACACCCAGAACTTACTTCACCTCTGTCATGTCCAGTATAACCAGAACATCTTCTGAGCGGCTTTCAACACTGCCTAAGCACACACTGGCTACAAACCCAGCACTGGTCAGCAAAAAACCCATAACAATTACAGACAAACAGCCAACTGCATCAAGTAAAATGACTTTCCATTCCCAAGAAACCTCTCCCAAGACAGCTATTCCCCCACTATCCTCCCCAAATCGAACAACCTCAAAGGCAGCTACAGCTATCCAGAGAAGCAGCAGCAGCAGCAGCAGCAGCAGCAGAGCAGATCTACCAACAAAACCACCTTCGTATCCAACTCCAAATGGCTACATTAATGTGAAACCACTAAGTGGTATGTATTTGTCTTTAATTATTTCTCAAGTTGCTTTGTTTTACAGGAGGGTGAAACTTTTCAGTAGAGAAAATAGAGTAATTCTGGCATGAGATCTGAGATGAAAGTAAATAGATTTTCCTCAGGACAACAGAGATGCTGTGTTTAGAGTTTCTATGCTATGGAAATAGCTCTGAAAAATAAGGCTTCCATTATTATTCTGGGTATATTAGCTGGACGAAGAACCATTCAATTTCATTAAAAGTTAACTATACATCACCTCCAAGATTTGCAGAGGAGACCCTGGAGGAGGCAAATGGCCAAAGAGACATTTCAGTGTTGGCAGGTGCCTCTTGACATGCAGGTGAGTAGAAAAGCTTGTTCATTGTTCACATTGCCTTCTTGTGGCTGAGCTCATGTGAGGCCTTGAGAATGGCTAGCAATGAAGATATATGCATGATGGCAAACCTATGGCACATATGCCACAGGTGGCACGCAGAGCCATTCGTGCGGGCACGTAGCCCCAGGCAAACTTACCTCACCACACGTGTGTGCCTCCCACCTGATTTTTGGCCTCCCAGAAGCTCAAGCCTCTGCAGTCTTTGGAGGCCAAAAACCAGGTCTGTTTTGTCACTTCCTGTATTTCTGGAAATACCGGAAGTGATGAAACGGGCCTATTTTTTGGCCTCCAAAGGCTACAGAGGCTTCCCTCGAGCTTCTGGAAGGCCGAAAAAGCAAACAGTCCAAAAATCAGCTGGGAGGCACAGTGCAGGTGTGTGTGTGGGGGGGGGGAATTGCGCATGCATGGGGCCTGGGGGGAGCGCGCGCATTGCCTTCTGGGTGCTGGCACACAAGTGTGCATGCGCAAGCAATTTTTGGCAAAGGAGCCCAAAAAGTTTAGTCACCACTGATATATGCCTTCTGGGACTGCCCTGTACTTTTTTCCTCCTCCATACAGTCGGAATGCAAATGCAATTCTTCACTCAGTTCTCTGCCCCTCCCATAGTTTGGGGCTGTAACTCTGAATTGGCTGTGGGAACTATCTGCCGAGGACCAGGAGTGGTTGATCAATCTCATAAACCTAAGCTAAATCAGATTAGATCTAATTAGGGTTTCAATGAAAGATCAATAGGGAGTATTAGCGATGTAGGCTAGAATGTTTTTTTTTTTTAAATCCCAAAGATTCTGGAAATACTGGAAGTGATGAAACGGGCCTATTATATATGAAAGTATATAATACTTTCATATTGTAGCATAGATAACATATCTTGTGCTATCAAGTGCTCAGTTTGAAGAAGAATTTATCTTTAGTATCAGACTTCTCCTGTAACAATTTAGACTAAAACAGTTAATCCTAAAGAATTATTAACTGCTCACAAAACGAGAATTCCAGCAAGCATATTACTTTCAAGTAAGAAGCCTCTGTATCAGGGCTTCTCAACCACACCGGCTAGAGAAATCTGGGAGTTGAAGTCCACACATCTTAGAATGACCAAGGTTGAGAAACTCTGGTTTATATAGACAAAGTTCTAAAGTGATTGTTCCTCCTGTGCTCTTTCCAATGGAATTGAGGGTGAGGCACACTTCTGTTTTTGATTTGGAGATGGTGGCTAGATTTTTTTATGACCAGCTCTCATGTTCATATCCATTCAAGTGAAACTCATTTGAACACCCAGAACAGAGAGAGTTCAAGGACAGCCATGTTGTCTACTTGTTTGCAAACCCAACTGTGCTCAGGTGGCTGCTTAAAGAACAACTTTGGATTCTGAAATGCAAACAAACATCCATTAAGTTATAACAATACTTTCTGTTATATGAATCTTTATCTGTAATTTCATTTCACCCTTCTATAAGGAGAAATATGAAGAACCTCCAGATCACTGAAAGTGATATGAGCTTACATATAGAAGATTAGGTTGTAATGGGATATCAAGAAATAATTGAGAAAATATACAGGAGGAGGCATGACTATGGATCAGAGATCTACTTCTCCCTCACTTTGTTGGGACAAGACCTTCATCTTGGTTAAAACTGAGAGGGGGTAAGACATGCTATTGCTTTAAAAGCCAAGATGCCAGGCATGGATTTAGCTAATCATAGCCATAATGCTGCCTGGTTTATTGCACTAAACCACAGATGTTAATTATAATTTGTTGATAATGTTTGGATGACTTCAGACATCATGCTTATCCATAGCTGCAAACTTCAACAATCAGTTCATCTATTGCATTAAACCCAAAGAAGCAAACCACATAATGACTCCACATGATCTATGAATCCAGCCACAGTAACTTTTTATATTATTTGTACTGTGAACATGATCTAACCATTGTTCTTGAATCTGAGCTTGTATTGAGTAATAGTCTTAAAAGAGCTTAAGTCCCTTAAAATGCAAGGAACAGATCTTGATTCCTCTTTATTTTCTCCATGCAGCATCAGCTTTAAGCACATTACTCAGTTGGACAGTTCTGGCAGTGTCTCTCACCATTGGAATCCCAATTCAGAAGTTTCTCTAAAAATACGGTTATCTCAACCCCACCTTAACAATTATTGGTGATGGTATCCGTAATACTTTCAAAATTCTACTGCAAAAGCCTCTTGGAAAGATATCAGCGCTACGTAGACTATGTCTAAGTGGGCAGGTGTCAAACTTTATATAGAAAATCATTGCACCATTATTGCTTGAAGATGAAACTGCATTTATTGTCCCTTTCCTGTGCCCTAATTGGTTATATTAGTTGAACATAATATGGTCATATTTCCAATGCATGGAGATGCTACCTTTCCACTGGAGTTTCTCAGTTCTGAGTGGAAGCAACTTGAAATTTATTTTTTCAGCATCTGTCTTGGCACCTGGATTTTAGCAGCAGCAGCAAAACTATTTGATTCCCAGCAAAAAGAAGAAAAGGACTATCGATTCAGATGGATTTTCTAGATGTACCAACTGACTGTATCCTGAGTTGGAGACTGGCTTCAATAATTGCAGGCGGTCCTTGACTTATGGCCACAATTGAGCCCAAAATCTCTGTTGTTAAGTGAGACATTTGTGAAGTGAATTTTGCCCCATTTTATGATCTTTGTTGCCATAATTGTTAAGTGAATCACTGCAGTTGATAAGTTAGTAACCTGGTTGTTAAATAAATCTGGTTTCTCCATTGACTTTGCTTGTCAGAAGGGTATCCCATGATCCTGGACACAGCAACGGTCATAAGCATGAACCAGTTGCCAAGCGCCTGAATTTTGATCACATGTTCCTGGGGGTGCTACAAAGATAAGTGTGAAAAATTGTCATAAGTTACTTTTTTCAGTGCTGTTGTACCTTTGAATGGTCACTAAATGAACTGTTGTAAATCAAGGAGTATCTGTACTGCCAAAGATCTAAGCAAATGCATATCTCCCTTATGAACATCTAGTCCAGTATTTGATTCTGAGGTTGTTTGCTTTATCTCTTGTATGAACACTTCTGATTTGTCCATGTTGAGAAAATGCTTAGCCTCTCGGCAGAATGTTATGTTACAGCCAGCTGTGGTCCTGCTGTTTCATAAGCTATATGCGGGAAAGAAGATTGCCCAAGTCTTTGAGGGCTGGGATTATTTGACACCACAATTCTCTGGCTTTTAGTGCTCTGATGATATCTCCTCGGATGTCTCTTACCATTTACTAGCTTCAAATTTCAAACCAGTTATTTTTCTCAAATTGATCTGGAAGCAATCATTTGTATCCTCTGAATTTTGCATCATCACAGAAGAATTTAAATAGAACTTTTCATCTTGCAATTAAGTAATTAGAGTTTAGTTAAATCACCGCTGCAGACTGCACAGCCCTGGAACCGCCTGCCCTATTCAGGTTTTGATAAATTGTACGTTTTGGCAAGAGAAAAGAAATGTTCTTAAATATATAGGGAATAGTTGTATAAGATAGATTCAATTATTTTCATTTCACTAAGCTTACATTTTAAATCATTTAGCCATATTCTGGCCCTGCCCACTCATCTTAAGTAGAGTCCCTAATGTGTCTGTCACTCAAAGTCCAAATGCATGCTCAGATACTCCCTTCTGCATCCCCAAAGATTGTGCATTTGATTGTGCATCACAGGAAGGATGTGATCCTCATGAAAACGAAGTTTGGTTAACATGAAATGGATTGGGAGTGAGAGGAGGCAGGAATGGGTGTTTCTCACAAATTCCATATACTGAAATAGCATTTTCTCACAAAAATCTGCCAATCAGATGGCTTTAGTTATGCACCTGGAAGCTGTGCATTTATGGGATTTCACTTGAGTAATTTAGTCCAGAGGTAACTGAAAGCACATTAGGATATATGTTCCGAAATGAATATAGTAAACCATTTAATCTCACTTTACTGGCTGCTAGGCTCCCAGATTTCCCTCTTCCTAAATCATTCACACTTGTGACTTATGTGTTATATTAATCTTTATATTGGTGATTGGATTTAAAGTTTATACTTCCCTATTTGCTGGAATGATTTGTTAGAGCTTCTAGGTTGATCAAATGTCCTTTGTATTGATGAGGCTGCCACTTCAGAGAGCCAATGGAATGGCATTCAGAAAAAGCCTATGGAAATGAGATTAGTGCCAAGGGAATTTCTACATGAAGAGTGTCTCAAAGAGTAATGACTGTATTTGCATGACACCTTCGTCAGAGTAAAACATATCTATTCATGGTTAACTATTAATCTTAATTTGTATGACTCAGTCTCTCTCTCTCTCTATCTCAAGTTAAGATAACAGCAGCTAAGATAATCAAAGGTCTGGAGGCCTAAACATATGAAGAATGGCTGCAGGATTTGGCTATGGCTAGTCTAGAGAAAAGGAGTATGGGTGACATGGTGGCTGTATTCCATTATTTGAGGGGCTGCCACAAAGAAGTGGGGGTCAAATTATTCTCCAAAGCCCCAGAGGGCAGGACAAAGAGAGAAGCAACCTGGAATTAAAGAGAAACTTCCTAACAGCAAGGACAATTAACCAGTGGAATGGCTTCTTGCCCTCAGAAGTTGTGGATGCTTCATCTCTGCAGGTTTTAAAGAAGAAACTAGACAGTCACTTCTCTGAAACGGCATAGGTTCTCCTGCTTGAACAGTGGGCTGGACTAGAAGACTTCCAAGGTCCCTTCCAGCTATCCCACCCCACCCCATCTGTTAGCCTGCCTGGCAAGTTCCAGACCCATCTGCAACTGTTTTGTTTGTTGAAGGTGGTTGGGCTGTTTTCACAACAGTAGCCAATCCAGCTTTTGTGTATTGCTTGGTATTTCTTTCTTTCCCTCCTTGTGAACAGACTTAACAGATTTAAATTGTTTAATATTTCCTGATTCTGGCACTCAGCTTCAACCCAGCCCCGTCAACTCTATGATCAGCAGAGTCTGTAGATCACACGACTCATACATTTCTATGTGAAGATTTGGAAAGCAGGTTATTGTCAATTCTGTATTATTCTTAGTGTATGTTCTTGGAAACAAAAACTGGTTGGAAAAATATTGTGATAGAGAAAAACCAAATTCAGATACTGGAAAAGTAATACCATATATATCTATGAAGACCTAAATAATTTTTTTCATTGTTGCCAAGAAAGTTCAATACTTAGTGTATCCTTTCCCTCCATTTGTCTTTCTTTCCAACTGTCCACATCCTGCTTTGCTTGTTCAGATGTGGTAACCCTAGGACAGAGCTCCTCAATCTTTCTGGCTTTGCGGGCCAGCTGGGGATGGGGGGAGGGGATGGGTCTGCGCAAGTGGCATGCACGCACACAGGTGCATGCAGCTGCATTTGCACAAGTGGCGGGCATGCATACACACTGCCAAATGGACAGCATGCACACACGCTCACCCACCATTTCCGTGCCCCACTTCCAAATAGCTAAATGCCTATTAGTAGCCCCCTGCCCTAGGACACCATGTTCTTATCTCTGTTAAGGGTAATAGTAGCTAAGGCTGTCTCTTTCTTGTTTACCTCTCTACCTGTCTAGGTAAATTTACAATAAGAATTTATTGTGTAGATGTTTCCATTTTCTCCTCATAAAGTTAACCCTCCAAAATGGCATCTGTGAGTGTGTGCTTCTATTTTGGAGATTAAAAAAAGTAGGATCAAACATCCTCAAACAATAGATTTATTCACTTTTGTTTGCACAAGTAGCTCTTCACTTGCAGAGATGAACTCGAATAGGTGGTGCCCGGTTGAAACAAGAAGCCAAATGGTCATCTAGCAGAAGGTGCACATTCAGCGCTCAGCCTTATTTCTTATGTCCTTGCAGAAACAAATAATATCAGAAATAAAAATCTGGTCATTTTCAAATACTGTATGAATTTTTAGTACAGCTCTGGAAATTAGCCTAGAGAAATGGGCTACAGTAGCAATAAAGCATGGTAAACTCATGAACAATAATGGAATTGAGATGCTGAGTGGCCAAATCCCCAGGAGCGAATGGGATGAAGCCTACAAATACCTGGGCATTTTACTGTCGGATATCATCAAGCATGAACAAGTTAATATTGTGATTAGTAAAGAATATATCCAAAGAGTGAGAAAAGTGCTAAAAATAAATCAAAGCTATCAATACTTGGGCCATACCTATGATACAATACGTTGCTGAAATTATTCTCTGGACTGAAATGGACATTTGGACCAAAAAAATAAGAAAACTCTTGACTATTGACTTTCATTGTCATAATAATTTCTCCAATAATTCAACTATCTTATATTGAATTCCATCATTGGAAAGTATACCCATTGTCAATTCTACACTACCTTGAGGATCCATGAAGTAGATTTGAATAAACCTGGCTTTCCGGTTGGGAGTTTGGCATTAAACATCCACTATAAGGATACATTTCCCCATGAATATCACAGAAGGAATTCTTGTTAGAAGGAATAACAGAATAACAGAGTTGGAAGGGACCTAGGAGGTCTTCTAGTCCAATTCCCTGTTCAAGCAATCTGCTGTCAAATCTCTTCTTACAAAACCTCCAGCAATGGAGCACCCACAATTTCTGGAATAAAGCTGCTCTCTGTTAATTGTTCTCCCTGTCAGGAAATTTCTCCTTAGTTCCAGGTTGCATCTCTCCTTGACTAGTTTCCATCTGTTGCTTCTTGTCATGCCTTCTGGTGCTTTGGAGAATAGGTTGACACCCCACCCACTCCTTCTTTGTGGTAGCACCTCAAAATATTGGAACACCGCTATCCTGTCACCCTGCTCCTGTTGCACTTCTCTGAACTCTTTCCAGAGTCTCAATATCTTTTTTATATTGTGGTGATCAAAACTGGATGCAGCATTCCAAGTGTAGTCCTACTAAAGCATTATAAGGTGGTACAAATACTTCAGGTGACCTTGGTTCTATTCTTGTGTTAATGCAGCCTGAAGTTGTTTTGGCTTTTTTGACTGTTGCCGCACACTGCTGGCTCCTGGGACACCAAGATTCCTCTCACTGTTACCGGTATTGAGCCAGGCTCCATCTATTTTATTCGTTTTTTCATTGTCTAAGTGAAAACTATATTTTTTCTCACCACTGAATTTCATTTTGTTAGCTAGAGCCCAGTGTTAATGTCTGTGGAGATTCTTCTGGATCCTGAGCTTGTCTTCTGGGGTGTTGGCTCTTCCTGCCAGCTTGGTGTCATCTGCAAATCTGATGAGTTCCCCTTCTGTTTTCTCATCTAAATTGTTTGTGAACATATTGAAGAGTAGTGACAGAACCTTGGGGTACTTCGTTGTTTATTTTCCTCCATGTAGACCTCCATGTCTATTAAGGATTACATGTTGATTGCAATTTGTCATCCAGTTACGAATCCATCTGGCCGAGCCAGGCCATTCATTTGAGGAGGGTCTCCCCACTCGTGGGCACCCTCCCAGCCCCACCACAGGAGGTCGTGAGAAGAGAAGCAGGGGAGGAGTGTCACCTGAAGGGAAGCCTCCGCCTCGGCTTGCACTCGTTCTTCAGTCAGCCTGGATTTCCAAAAAGTTGCCAAGAAGAAAGAAAAGGAGTAGCGAAGAGCCCCGAGGAGAGCTCACCAGCTTGGCCCAGCCTTGGCTTTCCAAAAGAGAGAGAAGAGATGCAGAGACAGAGAGAGAGAGAGATACAGCGATACACACACACAGAGAGAGAGAGAAATACAGAGAGGGAGGAAGATAGGGAGAGGGGGGAGAGAGATACAGATAGAGGGAGAGAAGGGAGAGAGAAAAGGAGAAAGAGAAATTGGAAAATGATGGAGGGAGAGAATGAGAAGAAAAAGATATGGGAGAGAAGGAGAGAGAGAGAAATGAGAAATGAGAGAAATGGGGAGAAAAAGAAAGATGAGAAAATGATGGGAGAGAATGAAAGGAAAAAATGGGAGAGAGGGAGAGAAATGAGAAAAGGGGAGAAAAAGAAATGAGAATGATGGAGGGAGAGAAATGAGAGGAAAAAGAAACAAATGAGAGAGAGAAGGGAGAGAGGGAGTGGGAGACAGAAATAAGAGAACTGGAGGGAGAGAGGGGGCAAGAGAGGAATACAAATGAGACGGGGAGGAGAGAAAGAAAAAAGGGAGAGGGAGAGGACCAAGAAAAACAAATGGGAGGGAGGGAGAGAGAGAGAGAGAAAGAGAGAGAGAGACCCACAAAAATCAGGGACCCACAAAACCTGGATAGGTGTGGCTGTGGGAACATGTGACTAGGTGGGAGTGATGTTGAGTTGGCCACGTCCACCCAGGTTTTGTGGCTCCCGGTGTTTTCTGTGGGAAATGGGTCCAAATGGATCTTTGAGTGTTTAAGGTTGCTGACTCCTGTTCTAGGTGTTCACAGATCTGTTGCTTAATTTTCCAGGATCTTCCCAGTTATTGATGTCAGACTGAGTGATCGGTAGTTCCCTGGATCTAGTTCTTCCTTTTTTTGAAGATGAAAATCACATCAGCTCTTTTCCAGTCCTCTGGTTGGTGTTCCAGGATCTTTGAAAGATACGGTACAATGTTTCCAAGAATATAATCCATCTGGTCCTGGTGATTTGAACCTCCAGATGGACAGTTCTTACCATTTTCTTGCTTATTTTAATTTATTCCAGTCTTGTCTTCTGGTAGGTTGGGCTATGTTTTCTTTTTGCGTGAAAAATTAAGCAGCTCTGCTTCCTCCCTACTCCCCATCACTTCCTTGCCATCTTTCCCCATTAATGAAAATATTGTTTTCTTGACTTTTTTCTCATTTTTTTACATGTCGAAAGAAACTTTTTTATTGCTATTTTGACATTTGTTGCCAGCCTTAGTTCATTCTGAGCCTTAGCTTTCCTGACTTCATCTTTGCAGATTTAGGCTATATGCTGGTATTCTGCCTTAGTTATGTGTCCCTCTTTCCATTTTAGTATACATAAGGATAACTTTTTGTCTTTCAGTTCTTTGCACAACCATGCTGGTTTCTTTTTGGATTTATTTTTCTTTTTCTGTAGTATTGTGTTGGCCTGGGCTTTTATAATCAAATTTTTCAGTTTCCCAGGCTTCTTTGTTTTCCTCCTTAAAATTTTCACCTGTGGAATCCTTCCCAAAGCTCTTTCTAATTTTGTTGAAATCAGCCCTTTCAAAGTAAGAGGCTGGTTTGATTATATTCTATTGCATGTGTCAATTGAATTCCAATGTGACATGGTCATTCTCACCCAAAGTTCCTGCAACTTCATCCCTCTCTATCATTTCTTCTATGTTAGGACTAGAAGAGCTGATGCTCTAGTTCCCTGTTCTACCTTTTGGATGACAAAGGTAAGTTGGTCAGGAATCTGTTCAATCTCCCACTTGAAACAGAGTTTGACAAAGAGCATGGTTGCACAAAGAGCTCTCTGACAAATTAATGGACAAAAAGGTCAAATATAAAAAATGGAAAGAGAGGCACATAATTAAAACAGAATACCAACAAATAGCCCAAATCTGCAAAGAGGGAGTCGGGAAAGCTAAAGTCCTGAATAAGCTAAGTTTGCAATTAATGCCAAAAATAACAGAGTTGGAAAGGACCTTATAGGTCATCTAGTCCAACCTCCTGCCCAAGAGGGAGACCCTACACCATTTCTGACAAATGGCAGTCCAATCCCTTCTTGAAAGTCTCAAGTGATGGTGCTCCCACAACTTCCAAGGGCAAACTGTTCCATTGGTTGATTGTTCTCATTGTCAGAAAGTTTCTCCTTATTTCCAGGTTGAATCTCTCCTTGATCAGTTTCCATCCATTATTCCTTGTCTGGCCTACAGGCGCTTTAGAAAATAACTTGACCCCTTCCTCCCTGTGGCAGCCCTTCAAATATTGGAAGACTGCTATTATGTCTCCCCTGGTCCTTCTCTTTACTAGACTAGCCAAGCCCAGTTCCTGTAACTGTTCTTCATATGTTTTAGTCCCCAGTCCCCTCATCAACTTGGTTGCTCTTCTCTGTACTTTTTCTAGAGTCTCAACATCTTTTTTTATAGTGTGGTGACCAAAACTGGATGCAGTACTCTAGGTGTGGTCTTACAAAGGCTTTATAGAGTGGTATTAGTACCACCCTTGATCTTGATTGTATTTCTTTGTTAATACAACTTAGGATTGTATCGGCTTTTTTGGCTGCTGCTGCACACAGCTGTCTCAACAGCTAAATAGCTGGTTGTCCACTAAGACTCCAAGATCCCTCTATAACAAAGTCATTCTTTTAATATGTAAGGCACAAGAAGGAAGTCAAGGAAACAGTAAGTCCACTAATGGCAGCAGAGGGCATGAACGTGACTGGCAGCAGAGAGAAAGCAGGTCTGCTTAATTCCTTCTTTGCATCTGTTTTTACACAAAAGGAAGAAATAGCCCAACCTATCTACCTGGACCAGATGGTTTCCATGCCAGGGTTCTGAAGGAGCTGACAGACGTTATCTTGGTCTTTCAGAGCTCCTGTAGCACAAGGGAATTACCAGAGGATTGGAAAACAGTTGATGTGGTTCAAATCTTCAAAAAGGAAAACAACAGATCCAGGAAATTATAGGCCAATCAGATTGAAATCAATAACTGTCAAAATTCTGAAAAAGATAATCAAGCAAAGAATTTGTGAGTACCTAGAAATGAACAAGGTTACTAGATTACTAGAAACCAGCATGGGTCTATTAAAAACAGATTATGCCAGACAAGCCATATATTCTTTTTTGATAAAGTGACTGAAGTCATAGACAAGTGAAATGCTGTGTGTCTGTACTTGGACTTCAGTAAAGTATTGGACCCATAGTCTACTTCAAGAAGATAAAAAAATGTGAGATAGAGAATTCCATCACCCGATGGATTCATAATTGGCTGACCAATTGGACTCAGTGTGTAGGCTTTAATGAAGCCACAACCTCCATGGAGGGAAGTATGCAGGGGGTATCCCAATGTTTTGTCTTGGGCCTGATAGTCTTCAGCATTTTCATAATAATAGAAGGGAAACAAATTTGCAGATGACAGAAACTGTTGGGAATTGCTAACACTTTGGAAAACAGACTCAAGAATTTTGACAGATCTGAGCATTCAACAAGATGCAGTTTGGTGGTGAGGAAATTAAGATTCTGCAGATAGTCTGGAAAAATCAAATGTGTTGGTACAGAATAGGTGGCAACTTGGCTCTATAGTAGTAACTGTGAGAGAGATCTAGGTGTCTTAGTGGAGCGGTCCCCAACATTTCCAACTTGGCAGTTTAACCCAGTGTAGGCAGCAGTGGCATGTGAGTGGCAGGCGTACACATGCACGCACACATGGCTCCATTTGTGCAAGTGATGCATATATGCACCCTCCACTTGCATGGATGGAGCTTCACAGTTGGGGACCCCTGTCTTATTCTGTTTCCCTGAAAATACAACTTACCCTGAAAAAAGTCTTAGCTTGATTTTTACACGTGTGCCCAATATAAGCCCTACCTCCAAAATAAGCCCTAATTAAGAACCCGCCCATTCCAGAGTGCATGGGCAAAAATTAAGCTGGGGGGTGGGGGGGAATGGAGCTGCCCTATTACTTCCCTTTGGACAGTTGTAACCAGGCCTTGCACACCCCAACATCTGCCTTGCCAGCCCATTTTTTTCTGCAGCAAGTCTGGCAAGGCTTTCCTGAAGGCCTCAGGAGCTGATAACAAAGCTCTGGATTGATCCTTCAGAAAAGCCTTGCTGGCTGCAGCAGAAGAAGTTCTTGAAGGCCTCTGACCACAAAAAGTCAGGAGATGATGCCCCCTGAAAATAAGACTTGGTGCCTTTTTTGGTGGCAAAAAAAATACAAGGCAGGCTCTTATTTTTTGGGAAACATGGGTAGTGGACCACCAGTTAAATATGAGTCAGGAATGTATTACAGCTGCCCCCCACCCAATCAAATGTACACTGCTCAAAAAAATAAAGGGAACACTTAAACAACACAATGTAACTCCAAGTCAATCACACTTCTGTGAAATCAAACTGTCCACTTAGGTAGCAACACTGATTGACAATCAATTTCACATGCTGTTGTGCAAATGGAATAGACATCAGGTGGAAAGCAGAGGCAGATAGCAAGACATCCCCAATAAAGGAGCGGTTCTGAAAGTGGTGACCACAGACCACTTCTCAGTTCCTATGCTTTCTGGCTGATGGTTGGGTCACTTTTGAATGCTGGCGGTGCTTTCACTCTAGTGGTAGCATGAGACCGAGTCTACAACCCACACAAGTGGCTCAGGTAGTGCAGCTCATCCAGGATGGCACATCAATGCGAGCTGTGGCAAGAAGGTTTGCTGTGTCTGTCAGCGTAGTGTCCAGAGCATGGAGGTGCTACCAGGAGATGTGGAGGAGGCCGTAGGAGGGCAACAACCCAACATCAGGACTGCTACCTCCCCCTTTGTGCAAGGAGGGACAGGAGGAGCACTGCCAGAGCCCTGCAAAATGACCTCCAGCAGGCCACAAATGTGCATGTGGCTGCTCAAACGGTCAGAAACAGACTCCATGAGGGTAGTATGAGGGCCCGACGTCCACAGGTGGGGGTTGTGCTTACAGCCCAACACCATGCAGGACATTTGACATTTGCCAGAGAACACCAAGACTGGCAAATTTGCCACTGGCACCCTGTGCTCTTCATGAGCTGCACTACCTGAGCCACTTGTGTGGGTTGTAGACTCGGTCTCATGCTACCACTTAGAGTGAAAGCACCACCAGCATTCAAAAGTGACCCAACCATCAGCCAGAAAGCATAGGAACTGAGAAGTGGTCTGTGGTCACCACCTTCAGCAGGTTCACACTGAGCACATGTGACAGACGTGACAGGGTCTGGAGACGCCGTGGAGAACGTTCATGATGGAGGCAGCATGACCGGTTTGGCAGTGGGTAGGTAATAGTGTGGGGTAGCATTTCCTTAGGGGGCTGCACAGCCCTCCATGTGCTTTCCAGAGGTAGTCTGACTGCCATTAGGTACCAAGATGAGATCCTCAGACCCCTTGTGAGACCATATGCTAGTGCGGTTGGCCCTGGATTCTTCCTAATGCACGACAATGCTAGACCTCATATGGCTGGAGTGTGTCAGGAGTTCCTGCAAGATGAAGGCATTGATGCTATGGACTGGCCTGCCCGTTCCCCAGACCTGAATCCAATTGAGCACATCTGGGACATCATGTCTCGCTCCATCCACCAATGCCACGTTGCACCACAGACTGTCCAGGAGTTGGGGGATGCTTTAGTCCAGGTGTGGGAGGTGATCCCTCAGGAGACCATCCGCCACCTCATCAGGAGCATGCCCAGGCATTGTAGGGAGGTCATACAGGTACATGGAGGCCACACACATTACTGAGCCTCATTTTGACGTGTTTTAAGGACATTACATCAAAGTTGGATCAGCCTGTAGTGTTTTTTTCCACTTTAATTTTGAGTGTAACTCCAAATCCAGACCTCAATGGGTTGCTAAATTTGATTTCCATTGATAATTTTTGTGTGATTTTGTTGTCAGCACATTCAACTATGTAATAAAGTATTTCATAAGAATATTTCATTCATTCAGATCTAGGATGTCTTATTTTTGTGTTCCCTTTATTTTTTTGAGCAGTGTAGTATTATAGAACACCAAAGATAAGGGTTTAGAAGCTAAACTTGAACTGATGAACATTTGAGGGATTTAGGTATATCTAGCCTATTGAAGACAACGATCGGAGGGACATGATAACTGTTTTTCATTGCTTGAGTGGTTGTCAGAGAAGTGGTGAATGATTTATTCTACAAAGCACTTGAAGGCAGGACAAGAAGTATTGAGTGGAAACTTATTAAAGAGAGATCCAACCTAAAAGGAGAAGAAAGGAGAAAGAGAGAACCCATCTAGAAGTCAGGAGAAATTTTCTGACAGTGAGAACAATTAACCAATGGAACAACTTGTCTTCTGGGTCCTCGATCACTGGAGATTTTCAAAACTATATGGGCAGCCATTTGACTAGGATGGTAAAACTACTCCTGTCTTGATCAAGTAGTTGGACTAGAATATTTCTGAGCTCCCTTCCTGCCCTGTGATTTGACATCCTTTTCCTTCTTCATGCTTATTAAGAATAAAGTTTCACCTATGCTTGAAGCAGCACCTTGATTGGAAAGGATATAGACAGAGTCTCCAGAGTATCAACACATTCTGCTAACACTTCTCCCTGCTGCTGACAGACCTGAGCCTTGATAGAAAAGTCTAGCAGAAAGCTGGAACCCCACACTATTGTTTTTAGGAGCAGGAGAGTTTCAGAAAAAGAATCAAACTGATAGCAAGTGCAGGAGAATGGCTGGGCAGATATGACCTGGAGGAAAACAATTGGCACCACACAATTGGTGATGTCAGTGGGCCCAGAGAATAAAAGAAGCAACATAAAGCTTAAGTTCCAAGATTCCTGGAAGTGGAATGATTACCCCTAAACTAACATACCCACCTCAATTCCACACAGTTTCACTTTTATCTCTCTGCTGTTTCCCTTTCCACCTTCCATCAGCTAGTTAGCACTAATGTGAAACTTGCAGCTATCCTGACCATCTTACCAGAAGCGTAGCATACAAAAGCAGAATGAACACCTGCATAAAAATGTGCACCACCCCCTGCCACCAGAAGGCATTTTCCTTTTGTTCCTCCCTGATATCCAGTATCTTCCTTCTATGCTATTAATCTCAAAGCAGTGGCATGCTTGGTCTTACTTTTAAGAATAATATACCCTTCGGGAAGGCCACCTTGGAGTCCCAAACCAAGGCTGTTCAGATCAGATTGCTTCTGCTTCTGGATCCACTCTCGTACAAGTGGCACATTCTGATTGTCCCTCAGATTGTTTAGATTTGTGCCCAGCAGGCCTTTTACATTTTCAGGGGTTAACTCCTACAGAATAAATAGAACAAAACCAATCAGGAGCAATCTTCACTTTTCTGCTTTCCCAACC